TCAAATATCATAGAATATATAAACATTTGTTCAACAAAAATCCAGAAATACCAATGGGTTTGAGGGTTAATTTCAATAAACTTAATAAAATATTTCAAATCACACTGAATGTATTTCAGGAAAAAACTGTACCAGTGTTTCCCTGAAAATAAGACCCTGTCTTATATTTTTTTGAACCCCAAAATAAGCGCTTGGTCTTATTTTCGGGGAGGCCTTATTATTTTGGGGTGCGTGGAGCAAGATGGGACTCCTCTTGCCGTTTTACCTGATTTCCAGCTCTGCGTTTAAATATTTTTGGGGAGGGCTTATTTTCGGGGGGAGGCTTATTTTAGCGCATGCGCTCAAAAGCCCAATTGGGCTTATTATTAGGGGATGTCTTATTTTTGGGGAAATAGGGTATATGTTTGCAACCAATACAATATCTGGTTATTGTTAGCTAAGACCATTCTAAGACAATGATAGAATTAAGAAGCTACTGTATCGGGATTGCAAAAATACAGATTGCCACTAGATTTCCTGCTTCGCCCCTCTTATTCTTTATTTTCAGAAGATTACAAACTATAGAGTATCCAAGTACTAAATATATATATATATATATATTACAATCAGATAAAGAAAAAATACCTAACAATATCATTGTATACTATAAAATATCATAAAAATCTATGCCAAAGGTCACATTGCTTCATCCTGTGAGTATCCCAAAGATGTTTTTTCAAAAGGCAATTGGACTTTGTTTTTCCTTGAAGACATTTTGCTTCTCATCCAAGAAGCTTCTACAGTTTTCAACTGAAGAAACTTCTTGGATGAGAAGCGAAATGTCTTCAAGGAAAAACAAAGTCCACTTGCCTTTTGAAAAAGCACCTTTGGGACAAGCATGACCTGGATGACTGAGAATCTCCACATTCATCCTTTGACTAGCAGAAAATACTATCTTTTCCAGAAGAGGAAAGTTACACATTTCCAAGCCAGTCTTTAATATTTGGAATGGTGTAGTATCACTTTTCCAATTTTTCAATATAATTCTTTTGGCCACCAGCTATGCCTAGTATAATTAATTCCTCAAAGACAGTCAGATTCCAAAGTTTTGATATATAGGTAATCCTCCACTTACAATATCTGGAACCAGAATTTCCATTACTAAGCAAGGTGGTTGTTAAACGAGTTATGCTGGATTTTACAACCGTTTTTTGCCATGATTGTTAAGTGAATCATGCAGTCATTAAACAAATCTGGCTTTCCACATTGTCTTTGCTGTTTGGGAAGTCACAGATTGTGATCACATGATCCCAGAATGCTGCAACTGTTGTAAATACAGGCCACGTTTTTTGTATGTCCAAAAGAAAAACATCTATCCTTTTGAATACATTCTTAAGGAGTCCAATACACTCTAAATGCAGTTTTTTGATGAAGCAATTTTATTCTCAAATCCATTGATGCCATTTTAACATTATTAAGGACATGCAACCACTGATAACGGCATTAATAGAGAATCTACATCTTTAGAGTAGAACACCACAAAGGGGCAGCAAAGAGATACAGAAAACTATATTGCTACCTAATGGCTGGTTGGGTATTTGCAGCCCAGATATAGTAACCTAGAACTATTGCAGTAAGCTTTAAGTACATATCTCTGTTGAAAATAGCTAGTTGTGAATTGGTAGATAGTCACCATTTATATTTGGCAGACTCAAAGCAAAAATTATTCAATCCAATCTAAAGAAGCTGTCCACACCTTTAAAAAAAGTCAATCAACCTGGTGATAATGTGATGATAATCAGTTGAAGTATGACAAAAAAGGACCACATGAAGAGCAATTATTACTCCAGGAGATCTGGGTTTGTTAGACAATAAAAATCACAAAACCAAGTATTCTGAAAAATTAAAACTGAAGGCATGTTTCATTGAAGATTTTTTTAAATTACGGATGTCAATGAAATCAAATAAAGGGCCTGCAAACTAACAGTAGAAGAGGAATTCAGAAAACTGAAAGAGAGCAATTGGCTATAGAAGCAGCAATAGAAAAATTACAAGTAGAGACATAAATAAAATCTTTAGTTATAGTAGAACAAAATCAGTAACTGCTATTAGAAAGTAGGGTGCCAGGCAGAGCACGGTTAACTACAGCTGTTGAAAGAAATGAGTACTACAGAAATAGTAGTGGTGAGAGATTTAAAAGCAAGGAAGAACTGAAATAATCCTTGGCTTCAACAGAACCATTAACTTCAAGCTTCAAATACAATTATTTCTCAAGGAGGTGTTAACCAATCATATGAAATAGGAAGTGAAGAAAGAAGTGAAGTTGCTGAAAAGAAAGAAAGAAAAGACAGGAGAGGGTGAAAACACTGAAGGGTTGGAATAAAGGATACTTTATTTATATGTCGTACAAATGACATTCTTAACAAAAAATACACCAGGCTCAAATTGTTTCATAATATGGCCAGGGAACAACTTTTTTTTTTTTTTTTTAGTGATGACTGCATGAAATTCAAGAGGCATGGAGGACAGAGTAATGATGACATGATGTCACCTTTTCAGTATTAAAATAGTGCAGTAACCTTAGCAAATTGCTCAGCCTGCTTGTTTTAGGCTTGATTTCAATAAAAAGCAGAAAACCATCTCACCGTAGTTCAGCAATTTGCAATCAAAGTTCAGTGGTGTAGTTCAATGAGGCCAAATGCAGCTCAGAGGTGACTAATTGCTTGAAGAGGAATAGGATAAGATGATACCTACATAGATATCCCTTCCATCAAAACTTCGAATACTCTTATTTAATCTAAGTTAATAACTATAAAAGGTGTTAAACAAATAAAAGTTTAAGTGTTAACATGTAAATGTTTCTATTCTCTCTTTTCTATAAACATTTAATATCACTGTGTTTTAATTGCCATACTTGTTAATCTTTTGGATAGCTTTATCTGTCCAATAAGAAATCTTAAATATAACAAAGCAATGGAACTCAGATTTAATGTAGATTTAAAAAATCTGAATTTAGAAATTTGTAGCATCCAAACCTAAACATTCTGAAACAGTAACGCATCAAAATTAACATGCTAGGCATGCTTCGGGTGACTATAACACAAGCTCTACGTTTTCATCAGCATGTAAAACTTTCATCCAAACCTTTAAACATACTATCAATTAGCAACAAGTACTATTTCTCAGATATATTGAGGGGTTTTGTTTTTACTGATGCTACACAGCTTAGTTTTTTCCTGTTTGCCAATGAGTTTTGATATATTATCTCAAAACAACTGAGTATATTCTTATGGCTTATAGGTGTGTGGATGGCACATCCAGCCATATTTAGATTAAGATAGACTAAAAATTATTGTCAAGAGAAATTATATCAGACCTAAATAAACTTTTGAACAAAGAATGTGATATTATGCTAGCTACTGCACAACAGACTTTTTAAAAATCATACAGCTAGCTTAGGAGAGGGTATATTAAAAAAGATTCCATGTATTATCACAGTTAACATCTAAACAGATGTTTAGTGTGTAAGATTAAATAATTAAATCTGTAATTGTATACACTTACTTTTAAACCCTACTGAACAAACCTCCAAGTGTTCACTTTTTACAACAGCACAGAAAGTCCCAGGGAGTTTTACCTGACCTTGTTTACATCTCTGCTAAATCATAATATGGATTAGGCAAAAGCGTGTATCTTTCACAAGCAAGGATATTTAACGAACGATTATGTTGTGCAATCTTGGGAGTTCTGGCCAATTCTGAGAAATACAAGCCAAAGTCTATGGTACATATACTAAATAACTCAAGGTAGCAGCTTTCTATAATACTTCATTAATTCATGGGAGTAACCCAAGAGTACAATCATGTTGGTTTCTAGTTAGGTTGTATTATTTTATAGGAATAAACCTATCAATCTAGAGGTAAATCCCATTTAAGTCAATGTAACTTAATTTCATGTAAACTAATGGATTTTAAACTGTACTGAAGATGAATATTAAGCATTTCAGATGACGGAAAGTCTTTGAGCCTCTGATCATTAAATTCTTTTCCACTCAGTAAGTTTCAATACAGTGCTGGTGACCAGTGTTAAGCTATTATTATGTTATTAGTAATAACATTACCTCAAATTCTTTCCCTCTTGCTGTATATTTTGTATATTAAGAGAGTTTCCAGTTAGAAAAATGGCCATGGAACATGGCAGTCTAAATAGGTCTTGTAAAAATAAAGCTAATTTTGTTAAAGTCCTTCATAAATAATCTCAATAGATACTGGCTTTTGTTCCAGGAAGGACTATCACAGTTCACAAGTTAAAAAACAACATCGCATTCCTGTCTCTGTCAAATAAACTTGTTACCAAGAATGTTATAAACATTCATTCAGCAGAAGTTTTTGTTGCCATAAATTCAAATGCAAATTTCATAATGCCATAAAGTTGAATGCAAACATACTTTGCTTTTACTGATGTGAGTTTCAAATGCAATATTTTTATCTAAAATGCACCTAACACAAACTATTCAGACATGAAGAATAACCGTATAACACTGTGCAACTACAATTTTTTGTTTTTCCTAAACTTCAGGGTAGATGAACTATTGTTTTTGTTTAGAAGAAGATGAGCAGATGAAGGTCAGAAAAGTATTTTAAATCACAGACCAACGGTTCAAACATAACATCCCTTTGGCAAAAAGAAAATAACCTTGGGGCAAAGAAAAGAGAAACATCCACTTTCTAATTTAAGAGTTTACAGCGCAATGCAATTAGTCTTAAAAATAGCTCTAGGACTTTATAAACAACAGAATGGCAAGGCTGTCTTACATGTGATTTAGGATGATTTGAAAGGATCTCTGCAAAAAAAAAAGAGACACAGAGAGACAGAGAGAGACAGAAAACCCCCCCATGACCTACTTCTTCTAATCACTTGGAGACGACAGGAACTAAAACAAACGTTTCCAATAAGAAAACGAAAGTAAAGCAGGGCTATCGAGAGGGGGGAAAAATGGCAAAAAGGAAGAACAAACTTACTTTTCATAAACAAACTCCTCATCCGTACAGAAATAGTGCGTGTTGACGGTGCTTTTGGGTCTGTTCCGCAAAGTAGCAAAATAAAGTCGGTCTGAAATACAGGAGCGGGGGGGGGGGGACAAAAAAACAAAACAAAACAGAGGCGATGAGCTGCTGAAGGATCCGGTCTTTTCCAGACAAGTTGATCGCTCGGTCTTCACTTCTCAGCTCCGAGCGTCATTATTAAAGCCACCAACCGGCCATTATAACTTCAACGGGAAGCTTTGGGGCTCCATTTCATCGCAGGCATCAAAACACCTCAGGGATCATCGTCCTCGAGGAAAGCGCTCGGGTCAGGCTATCCGAGGGCGTCGGAAAGCCTCACCTCCCTCTTCACCCGAGATTTTTTTGGGGGGGGGCTTCGTGCTTACCCAGCTCGGCCACCCCACTCTTTTTCCCGCGCCTCTTCTTAACATTCTTCCCATCCCACCCCACCCCAAAGTTTACGCGATTCCGGGGATCTATCTAACCCAATTGATCCCTTCGGGACGTCTTTCTTGCAGCCCCCCCATCCCCGGCCAGGCAGGTGCTTGCAAAGCACGGAAGTCAACAGCTGGGGCGGGAGAGGGAAAGTTACGAGCCCCGCCGCCGCCGCCGCCACCCAGCTTCTCCCGCGCTCACCTTTGAGCAACTCGGAGGCGCCCAGCAGCTGCTCCGAGCCCAAAGGCGGGCTGGGTTCCATCCTAAAGAGGGCGCGGAGGTGCGCAGACGCGCGGGACGACGTCTCGGTACTCATGAGCGCCCCTCGGAACGGCGAGCTCTCCGGTGGCGGCGGCGGCGGCTGCAGGAGCAGCAGCAGCAGCGATGGCAAGAGCCCCGCCGCCCAGCCGGATTCACCAAAAGCGGCGCCAGCAGCAACGGGACATGCTCGGGGAAGGGAGAGCCGAAGCCGGCTGCCCTGGGTTGCGCTCCAGCCGCCGCCGCCGCCGCCGCTTCTGCTGCTGCTGCTGCAGCCACCAGAGACTCCTTCCCCGCCGCCGCCCGCATGGGATGGGGAGTGAGCACGCGAAAGGAGGAAAAGGAAAGGGCGACGGCTCCGGGACCCAGCGACCCGCGGGAGTGGCGGAGGAACCGGCCGGAGGGTGGGGTGGAAAGGATTTCTTCGCCTCCGTCCCGCCCTCCGGCGGCTTAAAGGGGCAGGACCCGGTTTCCAGGCAGCCGGTGCTGCGGTGGCAACCACGTTACCACGGGCTTTGTTACATACGCACCTGGGCTCGGGCCGAGGAGCGACGCCTCCGAAGGGCTGTCCCCGGATGGCACCTGAGGCCGCCTCGCCTCATCTGCCCCGTCAGGTTGCGAAAGAAGAGCAGCTCGATTTCCCCCTCTCACTTTCCTCAGCCTCCGCGCTATTGGGGGTGGCTGGGTTAAACCATCGCCTTGTGCCAGAATTGATAGGAAATAAAAGGCTGAAATGTTTTTAACTTACTTACCTCTCTTCCCCCCCACCCCCACCCCCACCCCATATGCAAAACAAAAGATCACTTGGAGTTAAGTAAGACCTTTAATGATGTTTGCTTCAAAATGCTGGAGAAACTTAGCCACTCGAAGGCAGGCTTGGCGTTTAACTAGTTCTAGTCCATCTCAGCAACAGATGAAGTGTCTTCACGCAACCGGCAAACTATGATTTAGGTTTTAAGGATTGGATTCTGAAATATTTTGCTAAAATGGCATATCTGCCAAATCAAGGAACAAAAGCATGCCCCCCAAACAATTTTGTCCTGTTTAGTTTAGTTTTATTCTTGGTTATTTTCTGTGAGTTTGTATTTTATTCCTTGAATAAAAAAATGGGGGGGGGATATGTCAAGTTACTTAGCCATGTAACATATCATGATCTTGTTCACACATCATGATCTGTTCTATACCATGGTTTATAGATCACAATTGCTGTGTTCATACAGTAGGCTAAGCCAAAAACAAATCATAGGTTAGTTGATTGAGCCAAACCATTATATCCCTTGATTTATAGTTTATAACAAAACGATGCCCCTTTGCCTTAGTACATGTTCATACCTAAGTCTTATTCAGCCATAGGCAAATGAAAGATTATTTCACTGCTTGATACATGGAAAAGTGGAAGTCACCATGAAGTTTTAAGATGATGTCAGGAATATTTCCAATATCCCACAAAGAAGACATGATTTTTTTGTTTAAGCAAATAGTTCCTTCATCTTGGAATGGATTCTTCTACACATAGCTCACATTTCTTATTTAGCTGATGATTAACATTAACCCATAGTGAAAATAACAGCAACTGATTGTTTTAACACAATCAACACATTACACGACTAGAGTAAAGTTAGGTCCCATGCCTCGCATCACTAAAATATTGCTGAGCACATTGTAAGCCACCCTGAGTCTTCGGAGAAGGGCGGCATATAAATCAAATTAAAAAAAAAAAATTATTGTATGAAAATAGGCGAACATGAATAACCTGCAGTTTCAGAAATCTTCAAGTAGAATGACTCTTGGATTTACTTGGGCAGCAGACACTTCAAAAATGATTTGGAAAAAAGTATTGTTGACTTTTTACAAGCACCACACTTCTCTCCCATTCATTAAGGAAGGCTGTCTGTTTTTAGATTTCTTAATTAGCCTTTTTAAAAGCATATTTTTCAAGCTAATGTAAAAATGTAAAAAAATGCTTTTTTTCCTGGGGACAGATAAAGAATTAAAAAGGGGAAGAATAGTGGAAAGGTGGAAGGGAAATAAGGTATATACAGTATTAGTAGATATAAGGGAACTGTATTATTAATTGTGAATGTAAGAAGCGAATATGATGATGTTTATTGTTTATTGTAAAACAGAACAGCAGATGAAATATGAAGTGGCAATTTGGTTTAATTATGAAAATAACTGAAATCAAGAGACAAAATTGAAATGATAAAAAGTGTGATGGGGATTTTAAAAAAACATGTAAATGATGAAATAAAAAAATTAATTGATGCCACACTAAGAAATCAGGAATTAAGGGTGGATAGTGATATTGCTTATGCACTAAGCAAGGGGAGGGGGTTGTAGAGATGGACCTGGGGGGGTTCATATAGCCACTGGGCGGGATGATGGGTCGTTTGGGCACAGCAGAGGGATCACGGAAGGAAATTTATCTGGGGAACAACGAGGTGTTGGGAAGGGCAGTGCAATTGAAATAGTGAGTGGGAGGGGCAGATACGGCGGGCGCAGGGGACCATATCATGTTCCGGGGGTGCGCATATGCTGTCTACGAGCGATTGCGCACTCCGGCCCCCAATGCGCGACTCGGGTCCTGGGTTGCACAGAGCCTCAGGCCCTGGGTCCACGGCTGATGTTATGTAATGCCAGGTCTGTTGTTAACAAAGCCCCCCTCATTTGTGATCTTATTTTGGAGGGGGGTGCAGACCTGGCAGGTATTACGGAGACCTGGTTGGGCCACGAGGGGGGGTTCCCCTCGTTAAAATGTGCCCACCAGGTTTCTGTACATTTCACCAGCCAAGGGCCCAGGGTGGGGGAGTGGCGGCGATTATTAGGGAAAGTCTTAGTCCGAGGGAGACCACTGTTCCCCAGATAGCCAGATGTGAGTCCCTCCTCGTGAAGTGGGGCCGTGGGAGGCAGATGGGTTTGCTGACTACGTACCTGGCTCCCTACCACGTGGCGGCGACCCTGCCCGAGCTGCTCAATGTTATTGCTGGGGTGGCGGTTGATACCCCCAGACTTATTGTCATGGGGGATTTCAACCTGCCATCTGCAGGTGAGGCGTCAGAGGTGGCTCGGGAGTTCATGGCTTCCATGGCGGCCATGGACCTGACCTAATTAGTTCAGAGCCCCACTCACACAGGGGGACACACTCTGGACTTGATTTTCATCTCTGGTCAGTGGTTGAATGATCTTGGTAGAGGGGATTTAGACATTAAACCCTTGTCATGGACAGATCATTCTCTTCTTCGCTTGGACTTTCCTGCCATTTCCCCCCGCCACAGGGAGACGGAACCGATTAAATGGTTCCGTCCCAGGTGCCTGATGGATCCCGAAAGGTTCCTGACGGAGCTTGGGCCATTTCCTGAGACCCTGGCACACGACTCGACTGAGATGAAGCGTCGGAAAATACGCCTAGAGAGCATTTGGAGGACTAGTCAATCCGATTCTGACCGGATACTGGTGAGGTCTTATATCAAGACCTACCTAGTGGCGATAAAAGTGGCAGAATCTAACTATTTTCCCGCTCTTATCGCATCTGCAGAGAACCGCCCAGCCGCCTTGTTTAGGGTGACCCACTCCCTTCTTTGGGGGGGAGTGCGGGAAGATCCCTTGCAGGGTCGAGCTGAGGATTTTGTGCAATTCTTGCATGATAAAGTCGCTCAGATTTGGGAAGGCTTGGACTCCGACTGGGTGAGTCCAGGGGAGGAGACGAGGGTAGGTCTTGAGAATATTATCTGGTATAGATCAGTGGTGTCAAAATGGCAGCCCACGGGCAGGATGGGTCACACGCAGGCCACACCCACCCCAGTTCCGGGAAGGGGAAAAACGTTGCGATACGTCACGTAATGGCAATGTGACGCCACAAGTTTGACACCCGTAGTATAGATTATTAGTTCTCATTCATTACATATGACAAGAGTTCTTTCAGAAATGCACATAGAAGAGACTATAATTTCTAAAATTATGGTAGTTTATGTAAATCCACCACATCTGGTGACACTTCTGAAAGGTCTTTGAAGGGCTATGGCACCTTTTCTTGAGTCTTCTTTCACGAACTGAAGAGAGGTGCTGCCCTCACACAAAACTAACGCACCTCTTCCAAATAATTAGTGAAGTCTGAGTAGCAGGGCCCTATTTTTATATGGCATGATGCTGTTTTCCATTCCTTTTCATGATTTGTGCTGCATGAGGAATACAGTATGTTTTCTTTAATTAGTATTGAACAATATCTGATCCATGGCTTATAATTATTTTATGTGGGTTGTAAGGCTGGGCAGCACAATTTTCAAAAGGGAGGTTTTCAGTCCACACAGAGCACTTGTCTGCAACTCTTTAAAACTAATGCATATTTTCCTGTAAGAATTGTGTGTGTTACTGATAGATGCCATGTTTACACCTCTGCACACTTCAAAGCGTTAGTACATTACTAAAACTACCTAGAGTCACTATATCAGTGAGATGGGCAGCATACAAATTTAATAAATAAATAAGCATTATCACTCCATTATAAATATGGGAAACTCTAGCTTCCTTTTTTGTGTCCCATAAATTAAATAAAGGCATAAACAGGTAACCAACTTATATTTTTGGATTCCAAGCATTCAAATTGATCGTGTGCAGGATGGTTTAAAAGTAAACTCTTATGAACTGAGTGAAATTGAATTTCATGTAAAATTGTATAGAATGCTTTTTGACTATTTCAAATTAACATCTTGCACATAAGTTCATGAATGGTACCAAGGATGTAACCACTGTTATGGTAGTTACATGTGATAAATATATAACTGACTAAACATCAGTCTAGCTTTGTGTTCAACCTTGAAGAGTAGAGAAGAAATACAACCGTTTGAAGTTAGGTATGGTACTATGATCTTACAATTATTACTGAGTTCTCAGAAGTTACTTTTTTCAAATTTTTTATGACGACCTAAATGGAATGATAGCAATAATATTTCTTTTACAATACAAATGTTGGAAAGTATTTTTAACCCATAGTATACAGTGATGGCTAACTTTTTTGCCGCTGCGTGCCAAAAGCGGGAGAGAGTGCAGGGGGTTGAGTGTGCGCGTGCCCACACTCATAATTCAATGTGCATCACCCCCGTGCATGCACGTATGACCCCACCCACGCTCCCACCACTTTTGGCCCACGATGGCACGGTGAGCCCGGTAGGCCTGTTTTTTGCCCTCCCCAGGCTCCAGAGGCTTTCTAGGAGCCTGGGGAGGGCCAAAGCAGCCTTCCCCACCCTCCCTGGAGGCCAGAAACGGCCCATTTCCCGATTTCCGGTGGGCCTGAAAGGCCCAAAAATCAGCTGACTGGCGTACGCATGCACACTGGAGCTAAGCTAGGGCAACATTCGTGTGCCGACAGATATGGCTCTGCGTGCCACCTGTGGCACACATGCCATAGGTTCGCCATCACGGGTATAGGAAAATACTTTATTCTGGGTGCTATCCCCAAGGAAAACCACAGAGGAACCTAGCAGATTAAAAGTTAAAATTATAAGAACTTTTCAAGAACTTACTTATTTTTCCCTTAGGCCTTCCAGATACTTGTCTTCACAATGTCAGTTACAAACCGACCAGCATAAGCACTAAGAATACTGATCAGGCATAAGAATCTAGATTCTGTGGCATCTGATTGGTCTGTTGTTACTCTGGTTCAGGTCAAACATCATTCTATCTTAGAGTAATAATTTAGATGACTAAAACTGTCAGTAATATTCTTAATCTGAATGTATCAATGAGTCCATATTATGGAGAAGACAGTGGAAATGAATGGTTACAAGGACATTTTCCTCAGAAAACTTGATTTTTGTGTTATTTTCTTTAATATTATAACGACATTAATAATTATAACCATTTTCAGATTCAACTGTTAAATATTACTTTCAAAAATATCTTTCTATTTTCTTTGTTCAGTTATTCTATTGTAGCCATTAATTACATTGTTTGTTTCATATTTGTAAAAGATAGCAGTTAACATTCCACTTGTGATTATTGTACAGCTCATTCAACTGGCACAAATATTGCATTAATAACCAAAATCATATTTATATAAATAACACTATATTTATAAAACAAAGTTTGCAGTGCTTTGCTGACTGTTCCATATATCCCAGCCCAAAGTTCTTTTTTAATACCTCTTGGCAAAATCTTAGAGGAGTGCCATCTGCTGGTGTATTGAAAATTGGGCAAATTATTTAAATAAAGTAATGAGTCTCGTGATGCACTTTACTTCCATTCATTATTTTCTCATCTAAAATGGGTCAACAGCACTATGCAGAAAAACACTTCCATGGATTTAGTAAGCAGGCTAAGATTCTTTTCCTCCCATTTTAGGATTATGCACAATAAATATAATGACTTTAAGACATGCCGAGTTTCACTAAAGTAATCCACTCTATTACAGTATCATTTAATTTGTATAAATGTGGTTCAGAGTCTCCAGCATCTGAATAAGCCCCATCCTTATAAGCCAAACAAGCTTTGGTTTTTAACTCCAGTAAAAAGCATTAGCTCCAGTTGATGTTTATTGCATGGATGTATTTCTGGATCTTCTTCTGTAGGGTTTAAAGCAGAGATTTACAGAACTCACTCTTTCTCTCTACATATAATTAAAGGGCTGTTGACTAGGCTAGGAAATTAAAACATCTTGGAAGAATGCAGTGGCAAACCATATCTGTAACACTGCCAGGCAAACCATACATATACAGTCACTGGAAGATGAACTGAAGAACAGTGTAGTATAGGAGTTAAAGTAACAGAATAGAACCAGGGAAACTTGGTTTCAGCTTTACCCACAGCCATGGAAATTCAGTAACCTTAGGCCTATTGAGGCTGCTGTGAGGGGGGAAAAAAACCGAGAAAATGCTGCATTGAACTGCATGATGAAAGGCAAGATATAAAATCCAACAAGTAAATAATATGGATGAGAAGTGAAACGTCTTCATAAGAAAGAACAAGAAAGTCCAGTTGCCTCCTGAAAAAGCATCTTTGGGAGAACCATGACCTGGATGACTGAGAATCTCCACAGACTTTTAAGTAAATAACTAAATTTAAGGGAGTATTTACATATAAACACATAGAGATGCCCATGTACATCTGTTAAATTTCCACTAATTTCAGTGAGGGAAGGAAAATCATCCACTGGGTGGGTTTCAAATTTTTTTTACTACTGGTTCTGTGGGTGTGGCTTGGTGTTCGTGGCATGGCTTGGTGTCCGTGGCTTGGTGTCCGTGGCAGAGTAAGGATACTGTAAAATCTCCATTCCCACCCCACTCCAGTGGAAGGTTACTGCAAAATCCCCATTTCCTCCCGATCAGCTGGGACTTGGGGGGCAGAGAATAGATGGGGACAGGGCCAATCAGAATTTTTACTACCGGTTCTCTGAACTACTCAAAATTTCCGCTACCGGTTCTCCAGAACTGGTCAGAACCTGCTGAAACCCACTTCTGATCCAGCTGTACAAATGAAGTTATCAATAATAAAGTTTAACTTGAAAGTGACTTTAACTTTTGGAGAATTTTGGACCAGAAAGGCAGGTTTGCTTTACTGAAATCTAAATCATAGATCTATAGCTAAATGGTAATCCAAGACTCTTAATGTCTCCTCTAGTTGGAATGAATTACATTAAGACAGGGCCTTGAACAATGTGCTTCAGATACTTAGGGAGTATTCATTTTAACACTGGGAATAAAGAAATGTGCAGTGGACATATAATGTTTCTTTGGAAATAAATCTGAAGTAGGATTTTATTTCCAAGACATTACAGTATTGTATTTAAAATAACATAGCACAATCCTAGATAAAGATTACAATTTAGTCATTTCTAATCAACCTTCAGAGCTGTAATCTTATATACATTTAATTCCAGTAGTTGGAATTCATTGGCATATGAGCACAAAAGAAGGAATTAGTCTACTTTCTGTATAATACAGCTCTTCAGCCAATAAATAACCATGAGACATTTCTCATTATTACACATTTTTATTAGCAGTTCTTTTAAAAAATAAAGATGAAAGAACTAATATCCCAACAATATGACTATAAAAGAGAAAAATGTGCAACTTCTGAATTTACAAAATACATCAAAATACAACTGAACTAGGCAGTTACATCTCCAGGAACCACTGAATTCTAAATCATACATTTTTTTTTTCAACAGATTGAAAATTATTGAGCAGAAGGAAAAGAAATATACAAATTCAGATACAGAATAAGCCTAAGTGAATGAACACAAATATGGCACCTTAATATACAAGGTAGCACAACCTGTTCCCAAACCAAATACTAATATTCATTTTATTAACTTGAAAGCAGCAATAAGCCACCAGTTTCAGATACACGAGCCTGAAAAAAAATGTGCATTCAAATAAAAAAAATTGCAATTGAACTCAGATTGATTGTAGGCTGAGTAAACTTTGATACAATTTCTTACTTTGGTCTCTATGTTCTGCCAACATACTGTGAGCTGCCCCAGATCACTGTTGCAGATGTTGGCTGCAGCTTTTGTATAGTAATCTATGCTTAATCTTTTTAATCCGATCAAAATATTGCACAGATAAAATGGGGGGTTCTTTTGGTAGTGGCAAATATTCAGTATAAAGAAGTTGGATATTAAAATATGGATTGAACAGCTTTGGATGGAGGGGGGTTGATTCTTTGAAAAAGAAAAAAAAAAAAAAAAGAATATGGATTATATAGGATCTCTAGATCTCAGACTTGGTTTCTATGGAGTATATAGAGTTGAAAACACAATTGCTGTTCTTGTATATACAAATGTGTAGTTTACAGAGAAGATAGCAACTTGAAATGCTAGGAGCTTTTCAAATTTCTGTCAGAAGTGCTGCATTCTGAATTACGATTTGCATGGAAAAAAATCCCAATCTTGTAACTGCCTTTATTAGCTTTTACCGATAGACAAGGGATTAAACATTTTATTTTAGAGTTACAGAAAGATTTCAGATTGAATATTCACCTAGATATTATAAGTTGTATAAATTCAGAAACATTTTATCATTATGTTAAAAAAAAACGCTGCAAATTATTTAGCTCTTGGCTTAAGACATAAAATAGCACTGCCTTCAAAATTCAAACAATTTTTATTAAAGATTAGTGGAAGATGAGGGCAAACTCTTCACATGTCTCAAGATAAAGATAATGTATTTGTGTCAAATATTTCACCATGTTTTTTTTAAAAATATTATTTATCTGTGGATAGGGGAAGAAAATAATGTTATTGTAAATGTTCTCAAATCATCAAGTTATTCCACAGAAAATATTTCATTATTTCTGTGGGTGAAACTATTGAGTGTCACTGGAGCAATATCTGCTATAAAAATCAAGTGTAGCCTCGTTGTACAGATGTGTGAAGAAAAAACAATGCTACCATTTTATGGAGAATTTATGCATTGCTTCCTTTTATTGGCATATTTGAACAGGCAGGCAGGCTGAAAATGAAAAATGGTTGTTGGCTTACACACTGTGGCTGGAGATACTGTATATTTGCAATATCGATGACGTGAATGCACATGGCTTTCTGGGACAATCTGCATTCAAGTGTTGGGGGGGTGGGGGAGAGGCTGCCTGAAATGGGGATAAATAGCGAAGCCAACTAAAAAGTTTTCACATGCTGAGTACAAGAGATGGAATGTTTCACCCAGACTTTACATCCCCAAAGAGCACTTCCAGAAATTAGCTCCAAATAATGAGTACCCAACAGATTTCTTGACAGACTTCCCTACTTGATTGATATATTATTTGAATTGCCGAGAAGCACGTTGAAGCATTTACTGGAGCATATTTTTATACTTTATTCTTGTGATTAGCATAGTTTGGAAAACCAAACTGAGAAATCATAATATTAGAATATTTTAAAGGCATGTTGCCGTAGATGCTAGCCAATTTATTAAGGCAGTAGGACCTTTGCAGCAAGTGTTCTGCCCGGTGCCACATCCCAGAATAACCACTGTTGCTTTCTTTTTCTAAATTCCTGATGTCTACTGGCTTCACAAACATACCCGATGGCTTTCCAATATGCTTGGCTACCAAGAAATTCATGGCGATATCGTCACAATTTTGAGTCTCATCGATCATAGCGTGCACAGTTTCAGGCTGCTTTTGAAAAAGTTCTAGATATGCGCTGTTGAAGAAGGCAGCTCCTATTAGGATCATTGAATATTGGTCTCCATTACCAGTGACAGGACCCTGAAGTTCAAAACTCCCATAGCTGAAAATCCCTGCAGGGCTGGGGATGTGCTTTCTGGGAACAAATCCAACAATCTGATCTGGAAATTGCTGTAGGAAAAGAAAAACATCATAATATTGCTATTGGGCGCCTGGTTGCAAATAAAAACAATTGCAAAAGATTTATGACCCAATAAGAAAAGTATACATAAACAAGACTTGTTTATAAGATGTCCCCCACATTCAAGTTTACTATCACTGCAAATTTAACCACATTTTGTGCCAAGACTGACACAGTTAAAAAGTTGATGAGTAGAGTTCAGAAAAAGCCCTGATTTTTATATTGGCATGTTTTATGCACTCAATAGGGCCCAGTTTGTCTATGTATTCTACAGCCATTTGTGTGTCTTCTGTGCTATATTATAAAAAAAGAGGATTAATTTTTTTCTCCTGCATCTCATTCCCAGACTGAGCATTAGAGATTATTTCTGAAAATCCAGAAGAGGTTTGGTCTTGTGGGGAGCTCCACATTAGCAATATCCCAATTTAACTAATAATTCACATATTCAAAATGCACCAAATTCATAATCTAGTGCAGGGGTGTCAAACTCAGCCTGCAGGGTGCTTAGATCTGGCCCGCGGGGCTGGCCTGGAAATAGCAAAGAACTGGCCCATAGTGCCCCACCCCCCGTTTTGGCCAGCAGAGGGTTGCAGGAGGCCGTCCAGGCTGAAAACAATGTTTGTGGGGGTGCGCATGGCCCCCTGTGTCCAGTTTTGGCTGGCAGGGTACTGCAGGAGCCGGCCGGCCCATCTGCCCCCCCCCCCGGCCAGCCTGCAGAGGACAACTACAATGCTGATCCGGCCCTCCAAAAAAATCTAGTTTGATACCCCTGATCTAGTGTAATCCTAACAACTATCTTATAAGTACCGATATTATTAATTTCCAAAGCGTGCAATTGAAATACTTGCCTAAGGGACAAGGGGAGATCACAGCATAAGTAAGATTTGAATTAGGGTCTGCTTGCCTTTTAGAATTGGTGTTACTAAAGATAGTCCTCGACTTACGAATACAACTAGCCCAAAATTTATGTTGTTAAGTGAGTTTTGCCCCATTTTACGACCTTTCTTTCCATAGTTGTTAAGTGAATCACTGCAGTTGATAAGTTAGTAACCCAGTTGTTAACTGAATCTGGCTTCCCCACTGACTTCGCTTGTCAGAAGGTCACAAAAGGAGATCCCACAACCTTGGGACACAGCAACGGTCATAAATAGGAACCAGTTGCCAAGCATCTGAATTTTGATCACATGATTGTGGGGATGCTGCAAAGTTCATAACTGTGAAAAATGGTCATAAGTCCCTTTTTTCAATGCGATTGTAACTTTGAACAGTCACTAAATGAACTGTTGGAAGTCGAGGACTACCTGTATGCTATACCAACTCTCAAGATACATGCAGAATTGTAATGAATTCAGTTTGAGTCAAATGTGGGAAAAAATACTGCTAATATCTATATTTGTATGGCAGAGGGGAAAACCATGAGTTAAATATAAGGTGTTGCAAGATACAAAAGAAAGGAGGACTGGCACACTTAATTTGAAATCATATTTTGCTGCCTGCTCTTTGGTCCGGATGAAAGAATAGAGGTTGCTAAGAAACAGGAGACTTTTGGAGTTAGAAAGGCATGATTTGAGCTTTGGGTGGCATCTACCGTATGATGCCTTAAGGTTAACGTAGATTTTAAAAACCATTTTGTTTAACCTGACATACTGAGAATACGGAACAGATATAAACGTAGGCTGTGCCCCAAAATACCGTTCTGGGTCTCAGCACAGAAGCATTTTGTAGAAGGGAAATTATTAAACATAAATGATTGAGTGATATATTGTCAAGGAGAATGTAGAATAATAATAAGAGAAGAACTGCATGATAAAATAGATTAAAATGGTGGTGCAGTGATTAGAATGCAGTGTTGCAGGCTAATTCTGCCCAAGGTCTGGAGTTCGATCCTGACGGGCTCAAGGTTGACTTAGCCTTCCATCTTTCCGCAGTTGGTAAAATGAGGATCCAGATTGTTGGGGGCAATATGCTGATTCTGTAAACCACCCAGAGGGTGCTGTAAAGCATTATAGAGCAATATATAAGTCTAAGTGCTATTGCTAGAAACATAATACACATGGATCAGTGGAAGAATATGTACTTGAAAGAACTGAAATTTAGAGTAATATTACAGTCTTAAGGAGAATTTTTATCAAATGCTGTATTGTTGATACATTCACTCGAAAAATTGGCTAGGATGTATAAAGGTTCTTCAAACATATGTTGGAAATGTAACAAAGATGAAGGGACATTTTATTATGTTTGGTGAATGTTTAAAAAAGCCAGAAAAATTTGGACTCAATTACATATAATAATACAGAAGATTTTAAAGACGTATATAGAATTGAAGCCAGTTATTTTTCTTTTGTGTCTATATATGTTTGTGTACATGTACACACCCACCCACAGAGTGGTCTACCACAGGTAGAGATACTTCTCTACCACAGAGAAGTATCTTGCTGAAGTCAACATATAAAGTGCCATAATTTTTTTCAACTTCTTATTCATCAATCCCAAAAGAAAAATCTCTGCTTTCAATATATAGATATAGTCTTAACTTTCAATCATCACTGAACGAATAGTCATAGCCCAAGGACTAAATGTATTCGTTTCATATTTGACTTCTCATTCCCAACCCTGCACCCTATGTCGTGAGCTAGAGGAGGTGGGTACAACAGCTTGCTTTATTTATTTATAAATTTTATATTGCCGCCTACTTGTACATGGCAATTCAAGGCGGCTTACAAGGATATTTCCTTGCATCCTTTGAACTGCTTCTTCAAAGAATACTTTCCTATTCTGTGTATCTTATCCTCGGAAGTCTGTATGTGTAGACAGAGTAAGGCAGATGATCTTGACAGAGACAGGCCACATCCTTTACCAGTAATAGACAAGTGGAAGAACATGGCAGAAGAAATGCAGAAGTGGCTCAGGCCTCTTTAATTCTCCTGAGTATAAGGGCAGGGCAGTAGGGAATAAAGCATAATCAGACTCTTTTATTGATATAGCCAATCTCAATAAAAAAAGTTTTAGTCTTTCTATGAAGCTGATTACTTAGTTTAGTCTACATAGTAGGGCTGACAGCGTGCTTGCTCAGTGAGCTATCTGGTATGGTTTCTGTGTTAGGGCTGTGTTAGGACCATGCAGTGCTTCAGATTCAAATGTGCTACGTGCGCATTGCAGCTATTTGCAGTTTGCAAGCCAAATACTTCTCTTCTTGGGATCAAAAAGCAGCATTAACTGTTTCTTTATAGGGATGGATGTTTTTGTCTACATGGTCAACAACTACTGGTCACTAACAGTGTTTTTGGGGATTGTTGTTAGTGTATATACTGTTTCTGTATTTTCTACTGTATTTTCCTTTTCCCTTCCGGGACTTGTCAATTAAAAGACATGATAGTTGTTCCACTGGTACAGTGGAAATGTGTCTCTTGCACCTCATAATAAACATATAGAATTGGCCCCTCTGTTAAATTTTCGGCTGTGTAGTTCAGCTTTTGGTATGCTGGTCAAATCTGACATAAATCTGAATTTCAAAACATACCTGAATTCCTTCTGTGTCTGACGCATACCTAGCAGGCATACAATCTCCTTAGAAGATCTTGGCATTTTTGAAAATCACCAATTTTAAGAAAAACAGCTCTCTATGTATGCTGTGTTTCTTTGAAACTAATTTCTAAATGTGACTGGAAGCAAGAGTAATTTTTAAGTAGGGGTACATGGAGGATCTTTGGAGACCAGTATAGTACATAACTCAAAACACTTTTTGTACTAAATAAACATGCAAAGCAGAATGCTAACATTACCTGCCAAATGGAGAAAGCGAAAACTAGGTCATAGGCGCTAACTAGGGTATCATCATCCATCATCAAAACAGCTGAATGGAGAAAAATGCATTTTAATGAGTGCCTACATTTACCGAGAAAAATACTTACAACAGTTTGAACAATATTCATGGTGACTGGAAAACACAGTTGCCCTTTGGCAGGATTTTGCCAAATTCAAGAGAACCCGAAATATGTTATCAGCGGCTAAAACGTTCTCTTGTTCCAAAAATGAAGAATAATTAGTGAAAAAGCCTCTGGATCTCATCATACCAACAATCACAGAAGAAATGTTTCGTTCTGGGCAACATGAACTCAAGCTTTTATATTCAAATGGATTCTGCTTTGTTCAATAGGGCTTAACTCTGTAGTAAGAACGTTTATGAGTTCAAGTGTAAGCCGGGTTCATATATTGGTGCAGCCTTGATGGCGCAGTGGTTAGAGTGCAGTACTGCAGGCTACTTCTGCTGACTGCCGTCTGCCTGCAATTTGGCAGTTCAAATCCCACCAGGCTCAAGGTTGACTCAGCCTTCTATCCTTCTGAGGTAAGTAAAATGAGGACCCAGATTGTTAGGGGCAATATGCTGACTCTGTAAACCGCTTAGAGAGGGCTGTAAAGCACTGTAAAGAGGTATATGTCTAAGTGCTATTGCTATTGCTGCAATCTATATCTTGATCATACTCTATGAATATACCACAATTAGAAGTGTTTACCATTCTCCTTTCTCCAAAATTTCTGTTGTTAAGGGAGACAGTTTTTAAGTGAATCTTGACCCAAAGGTGCTTTTTCAGGAGCAACTGGGCTTTCTTGTTTTTTCTTTTGAAGATGTTTCACTTCTCATCCAAGAAGCTTCTTTAGCTCTGACAGGATAGAGGGGAATGGAAGGATTTATATTCCTTGCAGACAGCTTCCATAAACCCTTCCATTCCCCACTATCCTGTCAGAGCTGAAGAAGCTTCTTGGATGAGAAGTGAAACGTCTTCAAAAGGAAAAAACAAGGAAGTCCAGTTGCCTCCTGAAAAAGCACCTTTGGGACAACCATGACCTGGAGGACAGAGAATCTCTACAGATATGAATCTTGACCCATTTTACCACCTTTCTTGCCGCAGTTGTTAAATGAATCACTGCAGTTATTAACTTAGTAAGACAGTTGTTAAGTGAATCTGGCTTTCCCATTGACCTTGATTGTCAGAAGGTTGCAAAAGATAGATCAGATGACTCCAGGACATTGAAAGCATCATAAATATGAGTCAACTGCCAAGCATTTGAATTTTGATAATGTGACCACGGGGGCGCTACAACAGTCATAAATGTGAAAAAGGGTCATAAGTCACTGTTTTCAGTGCCGTTGTAACTTTGAATGGTCATTAAATGAACTGTTCTAAGTTTAGGACTACCTGTACAAATCTCCTGCTGCCTCTTACAGTCTGAGAAGTTTGGAGGGATGGTCCATTCTTTCTCTGCCCGTTATATAGCTCTGGCAAACCTGGTATATCTTATCTAATCATTATCTAGGCATCCCTTCACCCCTTTTCAAGGTCTTTCTCACATACCTTGCGTGCTGCATGAATTATTCTTTAATAACTACTCCTCCCTTTCATCAATAATTCCTTTATTGTACTATAAGCCGTAATCATTACTGATGTAGAAGTAGAAAGAGATAATAAGAGAGACAATAATTACCTTTTGTTTCCAGCTCCGGGAAAACCTGAAGTCTATTCCTCATGTGATTTACGGTTTGCACTTTGAAGATGACAGGGACAGGATGAGGTCCCAAAGTATTCCATGTTTCTTCAGGTGCTTTCTCCCCAACATTATTCCACACAACTATCACTTTTTGTAGGTGAGGCATGGCTTGATAGTGATTTAAAAGCTTCAAGAGTAAGTCTGTTCTATTGTATGTCTGCATAATAAGAGTAAATGAATCTGAAGCCAACTGGCTTTGGGATTTTCTCTCCCTTCGCAGAGTGATCATTTTATCTTCCTTAATATTAGGTAGTAAAGCTGTTAATGCACCTGCCACCAGAAGCAGCAAAAAAATCACTATAGAAGAAAAGTGAAGTAGCCGGATACCCATAATTCTTCCAGGTAGCTTGCAGGTATGGTAAAACCTTAATTATTTTTAAAAAAAGACACAAGAGGTGAAAGTTAGTCAATCATTCATGATCATAATGCTATATATAAAATTAACACTAATACAAGGGCTAAGCAGTTTCTTTAAGTTGGCTGCTCGAAATTTAGGAAATGAAAGCAAAGCATTCCCAACTTGCCATATCCAAAGTATAATCTAACAACTACACAATTCTTCAACTGTATAGAAGACCAGGATTGATTGTATAGCTTGAGTTGGACTGTTTTAGTTGGACTTCATAACATTAATCATGCTTGTAGATGACCTTCAGCCGTCTGGGATGGATGGTTCGCCTTGGTCTTTTGATGGCTTACTAATAGCATACTCACTTCTCACATTTGAGCACATATTGGTAGTTTACTAGTCATCAAGACTGAGGTTCCTTCCAACCAAGGTAACTTCAGCTTAGCCTGATGATCTCCATACCGTATGTAGTAATAAAATAATAAACCAAGGATAGATCAATCTGCACATTTATTTATTAAATATATACTGAGTCTTTCTTCTTATACACCAACATGCCTTGCAATAATTTGAATGAAAATATAAAAAATAGAACATGGCATTAAAATCAACTATTATTTTAAAGGATTTGTGGAAGTTATTATTATTATTATTATTATTATTATTATTATTATTATTATTATTTATTGAATTTGTATACCGCCCTACTCCCGAAGGACTCAGGGCGGTGAACAGCCAGAAAAAATACATATAATACAAATGTTAAAAAGCATTAAAATACAATTAAATAATTTGGCCAGGAAAATGAAATTTAAAACACCCCAAATTCTTAAGACAAATTTAAAATTTAAATTTTTTAAAAAATTTAAAAGTTTAAAAGAGAGGTTAGGCCAGGCTGGCCTGCTGAAAAAGAAATGTTTTGATGGCAGGGCGAAAAGTAATACGTCTGTGCTATTTTCTAAATACTCAGAGAGTAAGCACATTCCATATTCAGAGAGTAAGAGCACAGAAAAGTCCTTCTCCCATATATCAAGTGTACAGGCTTTAGTCAGTGACATATATTTAAAAGTCTCTCTGTTACTAGTCTATATTATCAGGCATGTTCATAGCAGATGAGATGTTCATTCCTAAGTCAGGCCCTAAGTTGTTTAGATTTTTAACAATCAACACCAACACCTTCAGTTATGCCCAACAGACAATGGGTAGATTGGACAAGTGCAGATTCTTCAACATAGGGAGTATAAGATACCTGAACTTTACATTTTTACACCCATTTTAATTTCCAGACACTTTTCAAGCTCATTGCAATAGTCACAATAGATTGCAACTAAAACAAGGATGACTGTCACCAAATCTAAGCAGCTTAGAAAGAGTTGCAATTAATGTATCACTTAATAGTTTTGTAAACACACTCCTGGCCACAACCATCCTCTACATATTTAATTATAGCTGGGAATGAAACAGAGTATTCTCAAACAGTAGATAAGCTCCTTCTATGAGAGCACAGCTCCACCTAAAGTAGACTTTGCTTCAGTCCCCAGTTCTAATTTCCTCCTTATTAACAGCATCTTCTTCTTGCCTGAGTTTAATTTCAGCTTAGTTTCTCTTATCACATCCATTATCAGGATCAAATAATGATCCAAAGTAATGACTGCACTGAGCAGTTGTCTCCCAGCTTCAACTTCTGAATATGGCATGATAGCAAGGACCAGATTGTACTTTAAGATTCAATCCTACCAGACAGCACAGAAGGATATCATAATTTATGGCAGTGACGTTGAACCTTTTGGGTTTGGTGTATCAAAAAGGCCACGATTCTCAAAAACTGAACATATGAGATTAGCCTGAAGCAAATCGATCTTGTGAGTAGAGAGGGATATTTTAACAACCATTCCCTTTAAGCAAATAGGAAACATCCCAACCAGAAGATGGCATTAATGATGCCTTAACTTTGGGGTCACCTTTATATTATATGGTCTAATTCAGGGATGTCAAAACTGGTAGCCCATGGGCCGGATGCGTCATGCGCAGGCCACGCCCACCCCAGCTCAGCAAATGGGAAAAAGTCACAAAACATCACGTGATGACAACGTGACATGGTGAGTTTGACACCCGTAGTCTAATTTGTTGATGTAGAGTCAAGCAGGAATAGTCTTGCTTCTCCATATAATCTCTCCGTGTCCTCAAAATCCACACACTGGAAACAATCCCTATGAATAGGATGAGTAGTTGTCTAATTATCTTTCTATTACTTGACCTAACACTGGATTCCAAGTTGAGGAATATCTGAGCAAATTTGTTTGCAAAGAATTTATATCAGCCTTGGAAATTTGGATTGCTCTGGTTCTCTTCTCCCAACATCTTGGAGGAGATGCCCCATAAACCAGAAAAGCATCAATGTGCTATCCTATGAACTGCAATGGGGTCAGAGAAGAATGTTCTCTTTATTGTGTCGACAGACATAGAATAGGATACTAAATGGTCCTTAAAAGGGGTTCTGTTATGTCCCTGTTAGGGATGAAAAGACTGAGGCAAGACAGGTTGAGGTAAAAGCTAACAGGATTTATTTCACTAACATTGTTCTAACAGGTTTGCTAGCATTGTGACCAGCAATGGCTGCTCGGCTAACAGGAGCAGCAGCTGTCAGCCTTTGACGGCTCCTTATATACTCGTGTCTGAATACAAACAGCCAATCAGAGCACGGCTGCATCTGTAGACTGGAGGGGAGCAGGTTCCTTTTCTGCAAGTGATAGAACTGGGTAATTCTAATAATTATGTGCTGAGTTTTATTCATCTTGAGTGTTCCTTTATTTGTCCTCTCCTATGTTGACCTTCAAGATAGGTCAGATCATGGAACAGACAATACAAGGACTACTAATATTTTATTGTTATAGTATGAGGTATAAAAAAAAAAAAAAAAAAAAACCTGCCAAGTATCCCTCTTATACTTTTTCTTATACAAAACAGAAACCAGTTGAAGTCATTTTGAATTTCTTTCCCAGACTTTTTCCTTTCCCAGGACTGAGTTATCATTTACTTAGTAAATCTTGCATTCCTTCCTCAAAGTTATCTCTGTATTCCTCTACAACCTTATTTGTTTCATTATGCTTGGTTCCCTAATAAACCAAGATGCTGACTGGGTTTTGCTCAAGAAAAGAAGATGCTTAAAAATGATAATGTCAGCTTCCTGGAACCTGGATTTGGTCCATAGATCAGCGAAAGGGTGCAAAAATTATTGTAGATAGAGACAAGAAATTTCTCAAGAATAGTCAGCAACAACATTCAGATCCATCTGGAACATGAACTGGACCATTTTGAGCAATCATTAAATTCTATAGTCTACAACTGACCAAAGATCACTACCTCATAAATTTATTCCCACCAGCATATTCCTGGGATGGTTCTGAAATGGTGAGCAGAAATTGCCCTAAATCACAGAAATTTGACATAGATGCTAAAAGGACACTATTATTTCTGTGGGCTGTTCATTATCATCCAGGTATGGATTCTATAGATTGGATCCCAGCCCCTTTGTAAGAGGAAGCAATATAGGTAGTCCTCAACTTGCAACTGTAATTGAGCTCACAATTTTGGTCGTAAATTGCCAGTCACCATGTGACCAGAACTGATTTTACAACCTTTTTTGCAGCAGTCATTACGTGAACTTTAAGTGAACCCAATACTCACTATGGGCTGGTTTTTGCCAGAAACCGGAAGTAAATGTCAGTTTCTGGCAAAAATGTCGCAAAGAGCAGTCACATAGCCACAAAGAGGCACTGTAAATGCAGGCTGGTTGCCAAGCACCCAAAATGAGATCATGTACCAGGGTGTAATTCCCATTTTCTGGGTCCCTTGTAACATTGAATGGTCACTAAGCAACCAATTGTAAATGGATGACTATCTGTACATCATTCAGTCTATTATTTCAGAACAGGCATTCTTAATATCAATGAGGAAATAACACAAAACTGGCAAAGGACCATTCATAACCTTTGGCACATAATACTTTAAGTAATAGGTACGCTTTTATGTCCCACACCATTTGGGTTACTTCATCAAGGAGAGCTATTCAATGAAGAAGTAAGAATTTAAATTTAGATAGCTTACTGATGAAGGCCCAAGGTGATTCAAGAGTATATAACGGGTGCATATGAATTAACAGATACATAATATTTTCATCTGAACAAATATGTGCTGAGTGAGGAATAGCAGGATGCTATTTTCAGAACAGGAACAATTTACATAAAATTCTATGCAAAAAAGATTTATGCGACAGTACACTGCAACATTTGGGGGAGGTGTATATAGAATTATAAAATGTTATAATCTGGCATAATAGTGGGACTGACATCAGAAAGAAACTGCTCAGGGTTCAGGTGCTCACTTTAACTCAAAGGAGAGGTTTCAAAGAAAATTTAAGGTTGTATAATGATTAGATTACCAGATTAGGCAAAAAGACATCTAGATTCAAACCTTCACTTGAGCTATGATGCTTATTTGGTAACTTTTGCTCAGGCCCTATCTCTACCAACAACTCCTGTGATGGGGAGATAATAATGCATGCTGCTTTGAACCACATCAACGTGGTATATAGATATGATAAATGAAATCCAATGAATAAAGCAAGGCCTCGATCAAACAGTAAGCCAAGAAAATAGGCTGAGGATAGGACAGAGAAATGAAAAGCTAAACCAAAAAGAAAATGGAGAGAAAATGCTTGTGTTCATAACCAGAGATAGACAGCGCTTTTGAGGTAGGAACCACATAACATTCTGAAAGCAACCAGTAGGTGTTCTTACAAAATGGCTGCCATGGTTTGCTGATCGCAAAACATCCATTCATCAGATGGTGAACTGCTTTTTACCATCACAGTGGGATCCTTATTGTGGCTAAAGAAATCTTACGGAAGAAACTGGTGATCTGCACAATGCCAGCTTCTGTACTGTGCTAGAAACATGTTTTGCTTTTATCAATGTAAAACGTAATACAACAGAGGAACGGAGGGAGGAAGCCCAAACTGTTAAAAAGAATACAAAAGCAATTTAGAAAGAAAGGAAAAGAATATAAAGGTAAAGGTTTCCCCTTTCTGGTTGTATCCAACTCTAGGGGCGGTGCTCATCTCCGTTTCTAAGTGGAGCATTGTCCAAAGATATTTCTGTTGTTGTGTGCCAGCATGACTATATGATGAGGCTGAAGTGGTATATATTTATCTACTCGCATTTGCATGCTTTCGAATTGCTAGGTGGACAGGTGAACAAAAATATACAAGGCATATATTCATAGATATTCTACCCTCTCTCTCAGCCCACAATGTCAAGCTTGGGCAACAAGCCAATCAGTCAATTCCTATCCAAACCAATCAATCAATACTAGGTTGAAAGCCAATTTAGTTTAATGATTAAGGCACCAGGCTAGAAACCAAGAGACCCTGAGTTCTAGTCCTGCCTTAGGCATGAAAATTGGCTGGGTGACTTTGGGCCAGTGACTCTCTTTTAGACCACAGCATTAGATCAGGCAACAAGCTAGTTGATGAATCCCTATCACAACCATTAAATGAATACTCTGCTGTTCTGAAAAAAAGCAGGCCCTGTCCTTGCAAGAAAATGAAAATTCTACACACACATTTCAATAAATGGTAGCTATATTTCATGATAATAGCTAACCTCTGTTAGTAAGTAATTCATCTGTATATTGCTAATAAAATCTCCACAAACCATAGAGCTGTTTTAGTCTTTTAGCTGTAAGCAGAGCATATAGCCAATCCATTCTTTTTCTTCTAGTGTCAACTTCCATACAAAGGTATTATCATTCAGAAAAATACCAACATTTGAGAATATTAAATCTTGTTTCACAATTATATATGTAATAACCTCTTCCCCAAAATAGCTATTATAAGATATTGGATTAAGCCTTTTTTTAAATAAACAGAACACAGTTCCTAAATAAGATGTCTTGTTTTGTTTCTAAAAAATAAGACATAATTTAAGATCTATTGATGAGTTTGATATTCAAATTAACACTTTTCATTGTCTGTGTAAAACAGGAAACTCTATAATTTCTTACTGCATTGCATATCAAATTGAATCATTGCCATTAGTATCAGCAGTGCTAGAGGGTAAGTACTGCAAAATGCCAGATGCTAAAAGACTTTGTCTTTTGTAAGGTGGGGGCACTGAATCACTATAGGCCTTAATCAATAATGATGCCATGAGTATCTTCCTCTACTGCACACAAATATGCTTTGCCTACTTAGTCTGTTCCACTTCTTGTTAGGTTGAAACTTTTGCTGGTCAGCTTTTGTACTCAGGATCTATCAAAGACAACAACGGTGCAAGTCACCATCAACAATCCCCAGGAATCCCTGCAACCCTAGTCTTCTCATTGTATTTTCGATAAACCTGAGCACAGACTAGCTACATATTCACAATCTGCATATTCATTGGGACAAGATTAGTTTTTCAGTTATAGTCTACCCTGTTTCCCGAAAAAAAGACATCCCTTGATAATAAGCCCAATTGGGCTTTTGAACGCATGGCAATAAGGCCAAGCGCTTATTTCAGGGTTCAAAAAAATATAAGACAAGGTCTTATTTTCGGGGAAACACGGTAGTTGAGAGCTAAGACTTACTGATGAATTCAGGTATGAAGTTTGACAACTGAAAACAATAATAACAAGGAATAAGGCTTATAACAGTGCAGTACTTTAGGACAATATTGGATGGATTTCAAGCTTGAACTATTACAATGCAATGCAACAATTTAGACACTGTTCACTTAAGGCAAAGGACAGATCCAAGTTAATTTTTGCCTTATTTTTAAAACTGAAACTGCAGTTTTTCTCTAACCCCCCTCCCCAACTTTGACTTCTTAGGACGTCTTCTCTAAGCCTAATTTTGAAAAAAAAAAAAAGAGAGGATGTATGCTGGTATTAAAACAATATAATTTAATATATCCCAATCTACCTCCCTTCACCACTGCAATATTATAACAGACACTTCACTAATCAATATCTGATACTGGCTTGTACATCACCTTTAGTTCTGTACCTATAATGCATGGGGGGGGTGGAGGTGGGGAAGAAATCACAGTTTTTCAACAGCAAATAGTTTGAAAGGCCAAAGCACCACAATTTTAAAGAAAGGTATAGGTTATTATGAAGATGACTCAAAGGCAGTAACACCAACAAAACATGATAAGTATGCACTAGGTACAACAACAAGGAGCTGTGGAATCAATAACAAAAACTTTGGGGTAAATTTCTAGAGGCATTGGAGAAAAACTGGGGGAATCATCAAACTTTCAACCACTGGATGATTAAATATGTATTCTTGCAAAAACACAGTGACAAAATAACTGCAGATCAAACAGTAATCTTCAAATCAAGACCAAAGACAAATTTCAAACTAACCTGAAATTACAGTGCAATGCAGTTTCATTATACATGTGCTATTAATGAATAGGAAACTTAATTGGGCACCATGTATAATGAAGAATTCTCATAACCCCTTGCCCAATGAAGAACTGTTGTGAGCTACTGGAGATCATATTACTTGCTGTGGGTATCCTAGGATGATAAGCAATCTTGGCTTCTAAAAGACGGATGATAACACATCAAAGTTACACATGAAACAAAGATACAGTTTCTATAATGTGTGCAAGTTCTTTCTAACCTGGTGCACTTTAGATGTGTACAATTACAACTCCTATACGTATTGATTGTTCCAGCAGTTATAATCCTATCATACCTGAAGAATACTCGATTGGGAAAATTGCCCAAAGCATTTTTGGAAATATCTTCTAGAAAATGTTTTAACTTCTGCACAAGTTAATTATTAACTGCTGGGTTCACATAACATGGTTAAACAGATTAAAAATCTAGCAGTGTTTTGTTTCTTTCAACCTTGGTTAATTTTTTTTTTTTTTTTTTTGTGGCTCAACATGTTATGTGAACCGTCAATTCATTTAGATTATGACTGAAGAGATAATTTAATAACTCAGTTAAGTATCAATTCCCAAATATTAAGAGATAGTACAATATAATAGTTCTAGTGTTTGTCAGGATGGGAAAGCTAATGTTCAACTGATTAGGCCAGTGCCATTCTCTCTCACCTACCTACTTCACCGATATGCTCTTATGAAGATAAAATGAAGACATATATTAATATAAGACTCTTTCAGCTCTTAGAGGAAAGACAAGATATAAATCTAAGAAATAAATTTAAAATAAAGAAGTACCATCTGCTAAAATAAATGTTCAACTTTGTGATGGTTAAAGTGTTTCTGGATTAGGAATAGCTAAAGTAAAGGTTTCCCCGCACATGCGTGCTAGTTGTTTCCGGCTCTAGGGGCTGTGCTTATCTCCGTTTCTAAGCCAAAGAGCCAGCGCTGTCCAAAGACGTCTCCATGGTCATGTGGCTAAACGCTGAAGGCACACGGAGCGCTGTTACCTTCCCACCGAAGTGGTCCCTATTTTTCTATTTGCATTTTTTATGTGCTTTCGAATTGCTAGGATGGCAGAAGCTGGGACAAGTAACAGGAGCTCACCCCGTTACGTAGCACTAGGGATTCGAACCACTGAACTGCCGACGTTCTGATCGACAAGCTCAGTGTTTTACCCACTGAGCTACCGCCTTCCGGGATTAGGAATAAGTATACCCAAATTCTAATATTCTTTAGGCATGAGTGCTGGCTGAGTAACTTTGGAAGAGTCACTCTCTCTCAGGCCTAGATTTGAGACATCTAAAAAAATCTGCCTCTGGCAGTAGACAAGCAAGGTAGATTATGGTCCATAATTTTCAATGAAGAGATTATGCAGTGGATTAAGTGACTGATAATTAATATATAAATGAGGTATACACTGTGGTTCAGCAAATCAATCCAAATATTTCTGTGTAGGAAGCCAAGCAGCAGTAACATTTCTAAATATTTAAACATGGAGAATGCTATGTTTTTCCTCTAGGCATTAGAAACAAATAATGTTTTAATTTCTAAAAAGCATGAAAAGCAATCTAACATAGGAATCCTATTTGGTTGAACTCACCTCATTCCTGCAAAGGAAGTTTTTTTCTGTGTTTATCAGGGTTCTTGGTTTAGGATAAACTTTACTTCTGTTGGAAAATGAAATAACTCAAAATTAGGCATTGTCATATTGCTTTAGGAGCTATGCTATCCTTCCCCAGTTTGATGACCTCTCAATGTACTGAGACTGCAACTCCCTGAATTTCTAACTTGCATACAAGCACAAGATAATAGGATCTAGCAAAGACATTTGTAGGCAAAGCCTTTTCCATTTAAAGTGTGCCTGTTAGATGTTGTTAATAATTCTACCGTCTATCACCGCAAAGAGACAAGATCTGACATCTTTGTTTTTGTACATCTTTCTGCCAAAATATGCATTCATGTCTTCATTACACAGCGACTTCTATAATGAGAGCCTCTGAATGTAAACTTACTTCCAAACAGACCACACATTTAGTAAACAAAAACAGACAAACTATTTTCAACTGAATGTTCTGTCTTGTTCACCAGATGGTTTTAATTTTTTTGCTGACACATCACATCTAGATCAAAGCATTTATCAGTCCTTATTTTAAGGTTACCTATGACTGGTAGCCTCTCTTGCACAAAAAAACCTGACAATATTGTTAGAGAGGGTACAGATAGGAATAGGTTCTTTGTTACTATTTTTCTGAATCCTCTTGAAGCAAGGCAATTGATTTAGGACAAAAGTGTTTATTGAAAATTTGTCCTTGGGTTTTATGATACTCTCACCTGTTTAGACCATGAATGTGTGTGCTTAATATTTTCAATTTGCAGTTTCATATTATACAACTCTGGAAGAAATACTAAACAATCTCAGTAGGTTTCAGTCCCAAATGTGTGTGTTTACAAAACTTCAGACCACAAGAGTTGTGTGTTAAATATGACAGTAATACAAAGCTGCATGGTATAAGGAGCACGGTGCACACTGCCTTTCCCTCCTGTACAAAAGGCAGGATATGAATCCATCAAACATATAAATAAATAAGCCAACGTGCGTTTGATGAGTTCTTTTGGAGCACCTTTCCATAACTGTCGCACTCTGGGTATTGGACTTCAAATCCCAGAATTCGCAGGATGAGTCCAAGATATGTGGAGGGAATGAGCATGGGGAAGGCTTATTTCTGAATAATCATCTATGAGTTTCCCTAAAAGCTAAGGATATGGTAGGTACAATTGTGTGGAAAGACTGTGGTTGCTGCAGCTAACCCTGCATCAAAGCACCTCTCTTTTTTAGGGGGCTACCCTCCTATTTTTAATACATTCTAGAGCAAAGCATTATCTTATAGACATCTAAGTCTGTTAGGAAGCTGTTTAGGATATACAGTATGAAAGGGTTGTCAGTGACGCAGAGACGAATATACAATTTCTTTTCTTGGCATTATGAAATCTCCGCAACACCCTACAGCTATTTATTTTTCTCGTCCCCATGCAAGTCCACGAAAGAAATGCAAAACGAGTGAGATCCAAGCAAAAAGATCCCGAAGGCTATTGCTTGAACCAAATATTTTCTTTTTGAGCCCCTCGGTTTATGGCTCTTCCTGGACCCCTCTACGGAACCCCAAAATATTTCTTCTTGGCCACCCACCCACCCCGGGCCACGTATACGACACTGCAAAGCTTCTTAACCACAATCACAGCTTCGGAGGGTCCCCTGCTCACCTGCAACCAAGGGGAGGCCGAGGCCCGAGAGCGAGTTCACATATCAGCAGGAGCGATCGCCTCGGGAATTAGGGAGCCGTTCTCAAAAGGCGTCGCTTCCGACTTGCAACCCGTCTAGCGCTGCACCGCACGATTCAATCGCAATTAAAAAAACATCCATCGCAACGTGAGAGGAACGCAAAAGGGGGCTGGACCCGGTCCCCGCAGTCCCTTCCTTTTTTGATTCCCAGTGCTTCCTGTTGAGGGAAAGCGCCCCTCCTCTAGGCTCCGGCGTTTGCCAAGGGGCAGAGTCGGCAATAATAATTTTGCGGGTATAGAAGGGATTTCCGTCCCTTTTTTCTTTTCCCCAACTAGATCCCCGCGCCCCCCACCCCCAATCGTAAAGCCTGTTTTGGGCGCCCCCTCCTTATTGCAGCCTCCCCTATTCTGGAAAGGCTGTAGGAGGAAAGCCGTGTTAAGCCCAGGGCAGGCAAAATTCAGGAGGAGTCTCGTAACACCTTTTCATGCATTTTATTAAAAGGAAGTCCTTTTGATAATCATACAAAGATCTGCCTTAATACAAAGATCTACAAATAGAAATAGAACGACTATGGCCAAAAAAAAGCAAAGGTAGTGAGAGGCACTTCCGGTGCAATTCCAAAATGGGAATGGAGCAACACTGGAACACTATCAGCATTGACAAAATCACTGTAAATCATTTGCAAAAGACAGCTTTACTTGGAACAGCTTATGTCCTGCAACCTACTTTTAACATCATATAACATCTGCCTATTCCAGGGCCTTGGGAAGGACTTGATAGGTGGATAAAAATGACAAATCCAGCTTAAACATTTGGCTGACTGTGTGAAAAACTATAATAATAATAATTTGGCATGCCCTGTTTGCCCCAACACAAAGACGCCACACTAACCATATGCTGAAGTCAACAATGCAAAATGTCCTCAACCTGCATCCAGCCCACTGCAAAGGCAGCCTCCTACTGTTTTTTTCTTGATCTCTTTCAAAAGTAGCACTATTTAGTTTTTCCCACAAAAACAGTTTGTGGCAATTGTTTCACGGTAAATTTAAGAGGGTGAAAATCAGTAGTGGTTTAAGGCAGGAGTCTCCAACTTTGGCAACTTCAAGCCTGGCGGACTTCAACTCCCAGCTGGCTGGGGAATTCTGGGAGTTGAAGTCCGCCAGGTTTGAAGTTATCAAGGTTGGAGACCCCTGGTTTAAGGCATCAGACTTGAAATGGAAAGACCATGAGTTGTAATCCTGCCTTAGGGACAAAACCTGTTGGGTGATCTTGGGCTAGTTGTTCTCTCTCAGCCCTATGATGGAGGCAATGGCAAATCAAAACCTTGCCAAGAAAACTGCAGGTATTAATCAGGCAATCTCTAAAAATTCGGATACAACTGAAGAAAAAAAAAACCCTAAGGGCAGGGCCTATCCTGCTGCTCCTGCCCACAACTATGGTAATTGCTGTGGACATTCACCTTGGTTATTTGCCTTTAAGCCGAAATAATTGAACCTCTGCTGTGGTGTTGAAAAGCCAGCTTTCCCATGCCTTTGATTAATCTATGAGTGACAGAAAGAGGTAATGTGGAGAAGCAGGTTTTTAGTGCCAGTTCTTCCTACTCCCAAATACCTCCTTCTATCTAGCTGAAGAATTGTTTCCCCTTGTTTCTGTTCCCACAAGAAAGGTAGTTCCCTAGGGGGTGGTTCTATTCTGGAAAGCAAAGTGGGAGCAAGTAACCATCAATCGTTCTATAGGATTATTTTCAATGTGTGTGTGAATGCATAGGCTCTGCAGCCTACACCCTCTGGGAAAGGGTGAGAATCTAGTTTCTCCTTCTTCTCCCTACCATGCCTGCTTCTCATGATGAGGCGGATGGAACTGGTGGCAGGAGAAATGGAGGCAGTGGGATGGAAAAGTGAAGGAGAGCAAATGTGGAAAATGGCTCCTTTGGTGCTGGTTACTGGTAGCAGATGAACTGTGGATAATTTAGCTTACTGACATCAGAGGAAGTACTGTACTCCTTACACAGCTTCTCCTCCTCCCCCAGGATCTCATGACAAGAGAAAAACCAATTCTCCTTTATTCCCTAGCAGGGGTCTAAACTACGTTCAGCATGTTTCTGAACTGGCATTCTTTTATTCCTGTTACTGCACTTGATTTTTATTTTGGATTGATTATGTTAAACAACTAAACACAAAGATAGTTTTTTCACTCGTGTCATCACTCTGCTGAACACCTAAATACCACAGTACTTGTATTAGGTCAAAGGATCTTTACCCATGTAGTACAGCTGAATAGGTAGTCCTTGACTTATGACCACAATGGAGCACCAAATTTGTTAAGTGAGTTTTGCCCCATTTTACGACCTTTCTTGCCACAGTTGTTAAGTGAATCACTGCAGTTGATAAATTGGTAATCTAGTTAAGTGAATATGGTTTGCCCGTTGACTTTGCTTGTCAGATCACAAAAGGTGATCACATGACCTTGGGACACAGCAACTGTTATAAATATGAATCAGTTGCCAAGCATCTGAATTTTGATCAGATGATTAAGGGGATGCTGCAAAGGCCGTAACTGTGAAAACAGTCATAAGTCATTTTTTTCAATGCCATTGTAACTTTGAATGGTCACTGAATGAACAGTTGTAAGTCAAGGACTACCTGTATTACTATTATCCTTCTCATCATTTCTACTACCTCCTTCTGTTGGTATCTTATGAATATATTTTATTGTTTGTATCTACACTGAGTGCTTATGCACCTTATGCAAATTCCTTGTGTGTCCAATCATGCTTGGCCAATAAAGTATTCTAAAGTATTCTAATTAGGTGCCATCAAATTAGCATGGCCTCTTACTCTTTCTTTTGGAAAGAACTCTTGAAGTCCATAGGTTATCCTACTTCCTTAACTTGGTAAAGTAAAAATGCTTAGGCAACAATCCTAGACCAGTTAGCCTTGGAGAGACACTCATTAATGGAATTTACTTCTTTGTAGCATGTATATCTGTAATGTCATGTAGATGTATTCCCACCGTACTCAGTGCAGGTTACAGCGAAGTACACGTTAAGGATTGGCTATAAACCTGTATTGCTTCAAGTCAATACAGGTAGTCCTCAACTTAAAACAGTTCATTTAGAGACTGTTTAAAGTTACGGCACTGAAAAATGTGACTTATGACCATTTTTCGTTGTTACGACCTTTGCGGCATCCCCATGGTCATGTGATCAAAATTCAGATGCTTGACAACGGGTTCATATTTATGACTGTTGCTGTGTCCCAAGGTCACGTGATCACCTTTCGTGACCTCCTCACAAGTGACGTCAATGGAGGTGAGGTGGCGCAGTGGTTAGGGTGCAGTACTGCAGCTACTTCAGCTGACTGCTAGTTCAGCAGATCAGCGGATCAAATCTCACTGGCTCAAGGTTGACTCAGCCTTCCATCCTTCCGAAGTGGGTAAAATGAGGACCCAGATTGTTAGGGGGCAATATGCTATTTAGTATACTGTCTTTGGTGTAAGCCGCCCAGAGTCCTCGGAGAGTAGGTGGCATAGAAATATGACAAATAAATAAATAAATAAATAAATAAATAGGGAAGCCAGATTCACTTAGCAACCAGGTTACTACAGCCTCCATGTTGTTCCCAGCGTCTGTTTTTCCCCAACTTGGAACTGAACCAGATGGATTTTCCTTCCAACACTAACTTATCAACTGCAAGGATTCACTTTTAACCACTGTGGTGAGAGAGAGGTTGCAAAATGGGGCAAAACTCACTTAACAAACGTCTCGATAACAGAAATTTCGGGCTCCACTGGGGTCCTAAGTCGAGGACTTACCCATATACCTCCGTCGCCCTGGGGCACCATCAAGTGTCGAAGCACAGATCGCTATAAACACGTGCATCACGCAACTGTGCGTGCGGCGCAAAAATTCAACCTACCCCATCCTTCCTTCCTTTTTCTCACCGCAACGTAACTTAGCCACCCCCACCCCCACCACTCCTACTGCGCAAGCTCACTAGCGACGCTTGGCTGTGCCGGAAGTCGGTGCTCAAAAAAGAGAGAGAGGCCGGCTTTTGCCTTGCAGGCGGGGGCTGCCTGGCAGACAAGCGAGAGTTGGGGGCGTCGCTGCTTTCTCGCCCCCCTCCCTCTACGCCAGGCGAGGCCCCGGCTTTCCCTTCCGCCGTTGGGAAAGATGCTGCCTTTGTCCATCAAGGACGACGAGTACAAACCTCCCAAGCTCCATTTGCTCCGAAAGGTCTCGGGATGGTTCAGGTAAGGGCGAGTTGTTTGGGGGGACGGGGGGGGGCGACAGATACATCTGCCGGGAAAAGCCCGGGGTGTCGGGGATCTGGGAGCCCGCTCGGGGAGGACGGGAGCTGAACAGGCGGCAGAGAATGGGAGAAAATGGAGCAGCGGGGACCCCCCTCTTGCTGAGCTGGAGGCCGGGAGATGCCTGGCTTGAACTACGGGGAGGAACCGAAGGAAGCCTCCTCGGGTGGGCTGGATGTTGAAAGCGGATTCAGCTGCGGGGCTTGCCGACGGGGATCTCCCGGGAGGCGGTTTGGAGAGGACGAGGATCTCTCAGTTCCTCTAAAATGGATCGGCCGGCTGGCCAGGATAGAAGGAGCCGCGAGGTTTGCCTTTGGCAGCATCTGTCTCCTATGTTGGCGTGGACTCCAACTCCCATCGCCCCCAGCTGGCAAAAGGAGGGGGGGTCCGAGCTTGCAGGGTAGGAATGCGGTGGAGAGAAGGGGCCCGGTGGTCCCTTAGATCTGGCGAAGGGGCTTAGCGGGGAGTGGGGCTGGGGTGGGGGAGCAGTTTCGAGACTTGGCTGGCCAGGACGTGTTTCTGCGTGGAAATCGGAGCTAAGGTGTGTTGAGTGTGCGGTTTGCGACTGTCGTTAAGGCCGATCAGGCATGGGAGGAACGGCTCCGTCCACCTTCTCCCCTCCTCCCGCTTCCCTGCGAGGCCTTGCCGGGCTTTGCATTAAAGCCGGGATCCGGCCTCGTGGCTTGACCCTCTCCCCGGTCCCTGTTTCCAGGTCGATCCTCTCGGACAAGACGTCGCGCAACCTCTTCTTCTTCCTCTGCCTCAACCTCTCCTTCGCCTTCGTGGAGCTGCTGTACGGCATCTGGAGCAACAGGTACAAAAAGGAGGGAGGCGGAGGGAAGGAAAGAGCCGGGAGGGCGGCGCTTCTCCCTCCAAAGTCAAGTTCAGCGCTGCTGGTGTTGCCACGTCTCCCTCTGGCAGGGGCCGAAGGGGATGGCCGGCTCTGGAGAGGAGCGCCATTGGCTTTTGGGAGAGGGTGGTCTCAGCCTTCCTCTCCTGGTCTACTTGAGACCTGATCATGGCTGTTTTTCCCCTTTACTTTTAGATGCCAGTTAGTTAGTAGAAGCCAAGTTTTTTTTTTTTAAGCTGCAAGGTGAAAACCAGAAAGGTTTGGGGCAGATCACACTGATTGCCCTAATGCAGGGGTGGGCAGCTGTGGCCCTTTTACAACCTGTGGACTTCAACTCCCAGAATTCCTTAGGCAACCAAGCTGGCTCAGGAATTCTGGGAGTTGAAGTCCACAGGTTGTAAAAGGGCCACAGTTGCACACCCCTGCCCTAATTTATTTATTTATTTATTTATTTATTTATTTTATTGGTTCGATTTATATGCCTCCCTTCTCTGGAGACTCAAGGCGGCTTACAATGCGTTAAGCAATAGCCTTCATACTTTTGTATATACCTGCTTAGTAGGGCTTTCGGCCCCCGCTAAGCGGTGTTCTTTTTTTATACAAAGTCAGCTTATTGCCCCCACAATCTGGGTCCTCATTTTACCTACCTCGAAAGGATGGAAGGCTGGGTCAACCTTGAGCCTGGTGAGATTTGAACTTGCAGTAATTGCAGACAGCTGGTGCTACTTAACAGCACTTTAGTCCACTGCGCCACTAAGGCTAATGTACTAATGGGAAAATTCTGCAGTCTCCCTCCAATATCATGTCCTCTCTGCCATATTTAGATAATGGTTGCTGACCCAGTTTTTTTTTATATATATAAGAGACAGGAGTTGATGAAACAATGACTCCTAAGGGATTGTCATTTGTTATTCTTTAACTTGCTCAGCTATGGTTTAGAACTGTTGAGGTGTCTAAACAGGTTCAGTGAGGAACGGCTCTTCTTTAGTAAAATATAATTACTCCATAAAAGGTCTAATTGTGATGCCATTTGCACTGCCTTTATTAAGTTGTTGAACTAGATCTCACTGAATGTATAGGTCTTTTATGTTTTTTTCCCCCCTCACAGGTATTGATTTTTACATAAATTAATTGTAGTGGCTGGTGGCTGGGACTTGCGTGTTGCTGTAGAAGCCATGTCTTATTTTTGGGATGAGAGGAGTCTTTTTGCATCTTTGGTTCAGTTTAAAACTAAAATTGTGCAAACATGTATTGTCCTATCACCCATTTAGTTGTCTCAGTTTCATATCCCCAAACTGACAAAGACGGTAGTTCGAGAGAAATCACGACACAAAGAGTTCTGTAGAATCCAGTGAATTTGTTAAAATAATAAAATTGGTATTGTGGGGCATGATGCTAGATCCCCTTTGTGTGTATGATGTTACAGCACCTGTAGAAAAGGGTAGAAGCTTGCATTGCAATGGAAATCATCCCCACTTTCCACAGATGCTTATGCATAGGTTTTTTTTAATTTCTTGTATGCTAAGACCTGTTTCTGTGAGCCTCCCCCTCAAAATATATAATTATCACTATAAGGAGGCAGAGTAGCTTCACTATTTAGGCATGTGTGCAATAATACTATATTGTATACACTTTGTGTATGCCAAGAATATTAAGGGATAGCAGGGATAAGCAATCCATGACCCTCTAAATGTAGTCTCTTACTGCGATTTCTAGAAATTGTCACTCTATAAAATAGGAAACAGTATATGTAAAATAAAATATGTAAAATAAAACACTTGAAAGAAGGCATACCCAATCAGAAAATGTGGAGAGAGCTGGTCTGTATAATTGTTGAAAATTAGACATGATTGAATGGATAGTTTAATCATCATATGTAAAATGATCTTATTTCTGTAAGTATCTAGTAAATCACATTAAAACATTCAATATTCATCCATTTTGCTGGTTTGGCTGGTATATGTACTATATTACACAAATGAGTAACATAATTCATTTTGCAAATGAGTTTCTACATTTGAGCGTTATCTCTTATGATGCTATGTCTTAGTATAAGATGTTAGGGAAAGGTCTGGATAACTGTTAGGACATATACAGTTGAAATTTAATAAATATGTATTTTCTTTTAATAGGCTGGTCTTTATTCCCTGAGATATTTTTAAACCTTCCGCACTTTGGCCTACCCTAGCAAGTGTGAGGTTTCATGACTGTACTAAGCAGTTTGGCTTCCTTCAGACTTAGAAGCAATGGATATGAAAATTGTCCCAGAGTACTATGATACCTATCACCACCTGAATTCCAAAGTAGAATGGAAGGTGTAGCCTTTGTATGAAGTAATATCTTCATAATAAATACTCTTTTTTTCTTGGCCATCCAACCTAAATAATCACTAGAGAAGTTTGGATTAAATTTAAACAATTGGTAAATTGATGGACAGGGAAAGGTGACATTTAAATTGTGTATTTCTATTAAATTTTGGAGGACGTTTGAACTAGGTTACTTTGTAATTATGGTATTTATATCAGACTTCTGGCATGGATTTTAGCTTGATTGGATTGTTGGATGGAAGGTACTTGTGTCAGAAAGGTTTAAAGTTGAACTACATCAACTTCAAAGTACCTGGAAAAATGGTCAAGAAGGGGGAAGCATTCATGGTGAGTGTGTTCCATAATTAATGTTCCTTGGCAAAGAAAGCTCTTCCTCCAATTGATATCTTCTTTGCTTCGTGGGTGGAAATTTGGGAAGGAAAGAACTCCAAACCTAATGCAAGATATTGGGGCAGCTTTGTGTTGGCTAAGAATGCATTCCATCAATGTCTCAGAATGAATTCTGATAAATTCCATTTGACTCAGATAAGTTTATGTAATGAGCCTAATGAAAGGTATTATTCCTTTTTTAAATCCAGCTTTAAATTTGAGGATTTGTTAGTAACTCTTGATAACATAGTTCACTGTAAGAAGTCAAAATAAAAGTTGCATTTTGAAATGAAGGCAAAATCTACCAAGAGGATATATAAGTATGTACTTATATTTGGTGTGAATAATAGTTCCAGCCGAAACAAATCATGTCTCATCTTTCAAGAAACTGTGAGGTATAGCATCATTTGCATTGGTGACCTTGTTAACAAAGTTATGGAATGGTACTGTTTGCTATTTATTTTTTAATTAAATTAAACTTGTATTTATTGATAAATTCAATTAAATTAGTTCTTGGTCTTGAATGGACTGCACTTTTTTAGTGTGTTGTATATGTATTGTGAGAGATTTGGGTGAATAACAACTTAAGTAAATACAGGTCCAAGGGGACATTGTCACTATTACTACCAGTTTTTTTTTTTTTAACTTATCGGTATTTTTTTTAAAAAAAATGTTCTAATGTATTTTACTTTCTATGACTGTCTGTACTTAACTGATTTTTTTAATCTTTATATTCCCAGTCTAGGTTTAATATCGGATTCATTTCACATGTTTTTTGATTGTACTGCTCTGTTAGCTGGGCTTGCAGCTTCAGTCATTTCAAAGTGGAGATCTAATGATGCTTTTTCCTATGGGTAAGTGTTCAAGTTCTGAAAAGCTATTTGTTCAAACAATCACCTGTTGACAATAATTGGGAAAAAACCATGTAATGTTATTATATGCTGATAAAGCAGTCTGAGATTTGTACTAGAATGGTTAATGGAATCAGGCTATAAATATTTATTGTGGAATTTGGCTAACGAAAAACAAATCTGCCAAACTAATCAACTGTTACTTAGTGCTGTTGCCAGCATATTTTCTAAAGCCAGAAAACATTTGGTGAGCTCCTAAAGTTTGAAACTTCTATAATCTTCCTTTAAATAGGTGAATCCTTCTGGTTCCCATTCTTTATGGCTTTTCTTCTATTTGGGATTGTCACTTCTTACTCTGTGTGGGAGCAACAGGATCCACTTCGTAGCTGCTATTGTCCTTCATCTAGTGTTATATAATAGCACTTCTCTTTGGGCTACAGAATTTTTCTCCTTTCATCCATGCATTGACTTCAATTTTCCTCTTAGGGGTCAGGGTACAGAGAGGCCACAAGGGCATAGATATGATAGGGAGAGCCAGATGGGTGTGGGGAATTGGATGCAGTCCACACCTTACTGACGTTTGGAATTGGGAGGGACCAAGCCCAGAATGGTTTGGATTGGGGTGGATATTTGGTTAACCACAGTAGAGAGTGCTGGGATTTCTGTCATAAGTTGGTGCAGTGACACGACATCTTGCATTATAACTACATCAACTTACGATGGAAATTCCAGTCTCAGTTGTGGTTGTAAGTTGAGGACTACCTGTAAGCCTTATTTGTTCTCACGATAGTAGCTTTTGATAATATAGAAACTACATTTGTAAATCTATGTATATATAAATTTATCTGAAAATACATATGCACTCTGTGTGTGTGTGTGTGTGTGTGTGTGTACACATAACACACACACACACAAAAAATTGTATATATGTTCTCTCTTTTCCTACAAGTCTCCCTTCCCCTTTTTGTAGTTGTCTTGTCAGTATTACGTGGTTTGTCATCAACATCTGAATCGTGCACAAAAAGTCTTAAGCACACAACATAATACACTTTGAATTTAAGAATTCCAAGTTCAGAAATTTATTTGAGTATCAAAGGTAAATTGTGAATGCAGTCTTCCCACATAAAAATCCATTCGTTGTTTTACTCCCCAATAATTATTTTCTCGGTATAATGATAAAGTGATGAACTTCATAATTGCTGTTCAATAGTAGGATGTCAGTAGTCCTTGATATCTACATCACATCATCAAGAGATCTACTTTAGGCGCTGATCTTCCCTTCCGTTGATCTCTATGCTAAATGTATAGCTGTCAATTTTGGTATAAAATAAAGGTGTGCAGTATACTTTTACTGCTGAAGGTGGTATATTGGAGATAAGAGTGAAGCCTGTCCACCTGTCTACTTCTTTTTTTTTTAACATGGTTTTTATTCGACCAATCCCTTGCTGTAATATAAGATGTAAGTTAAATGGAATGAGGAAGAATTGAAATAGCTGAAGTACTGTATTTCAAGACTAAGGAGAGGAGACTTAACTATGTACTCTTTAGTGATAAGAGCCCCACCTCTTGCCTCTTTATATTCTACTTATTTGGATAACTGATCAAACATAGCTACGTAGTATCTTCTGTATCAGCCAGAATAGTGGCAAGACATGAAATTAATTGTGGATTTGCATTAATCTAGAATGAAATTATGTGCTTCTTTTCATCCTAGGTATGTTCGAGCGGAAGTATTAGCTGGTTTTGTAAACGGTCTATTTTTGATCTTCACCGCTTTCTTCATTTTCTCTGAAGGGGTTGAGGTATGTTTTGAAGATGGTTAAAATATTTTCCTCTGTTGAAGGAAGAGATTTTTGCACAGAAAGTGGGTTTTTATTTTTAAATCCAGTTATGCTCACTGGGATGAAGTTATTGCTAAATGCAGCCCAGATAATGTAAAAGAGAATCACTTGATTGTGGCAGAGTATAAGTTCAATAGATAAATAAGTCTTACCACGTTGTTTAGGACAGGAAATGAATCAAAATGTCTTCAGGATTTGACAATTTAAAAATATCTTGCAGAAACCATTGACATGAAATTCAGTGAGATTTACTTAGTAGTAACTGTGCGGAAGCTGGTAGCCTTACAATACCAACCCTAATTCTTCAAGGAATATTATCCCATCATTTTTTCCATACAAATGTTGAAAATCTAACATTCTCAAATCTTCAAGACTTTAAAAATGCATGTACAAGAATAGTCCTTTTGATTATACTATATGTAAATTTTATTATGTTCACTTAACATTACAACACTTCTGAAATTTTTCCCCTCATTCTGCAAAGAGTAATTTCTCACTGATGTGCAGTGATTTGTATAAAAATTATGTCACAGTATAATTTATCTGGAAAAATCACTTTTGGATCAGATAAAAATATCCATTTATTCCAATACATATCTTGTTTCCTTCTGTATCTAATCAAATGGCTTAAGAACCTGAACATGAAATCATAGGGCTTCTTCGTTCAACTGCTCTCTGTAACTGGTATTTATAGTCAGTAAGTTTTCTGAACCTTACATATAGCCAGCAGTATCTAGAATTATTAGTTACCTTTTCATCATGGGTATGTTTAGTGCCAATTAAAAGCCATCTCCCATCAACCTGTTCCTTGGAATGATTTTAGTTCCAATGTTAAGTGAGATTATACTGTGAATGCTTAGCAATCTATCTTTGGGTTCTAGCAAAAATAACTAAAATTTCTGAAGTAAACTGTGCTAATGTTTATGAAAAGTTGAGAAAACCTCATTAGTGAGATCTGTGTTTGAGTTTCACTGAAACAGTTTGTTTTTCTGTTACAGAGAGCACTTGAGCCTCCTGATGTGCATCATGAAAGACTCCTTCCTGTTTCCATACTTGGCTTCCTTGTAAATCTGATAGGAATCTTTGTGTTTCAACATGGTGGACATGGCCATTCCCATGGTTCTGGTAGGAAGTGTTACCCATTCGTTGTATCATTGACTTGTCCCCCAGAAGCAGGGATACTATTCAGCAGGTTCTGACAGGTTCTGGAAAACTGGTAGTGGAAATTTTGAGTAGTTCGGAGAACTGGCAAATACCACCTCTGGCTGGCCCCAGAGTGGGGTGGGAATGGAGATTTTACAATATCCTCAGGACTAGGGAGGGAATGGGGATTTTGGAATATCCTTCCCCTGGAGTGGGGTGGGAATAGAGATTCTGCAGTATCCTTTCCCTGCCAGGCCCACCAAACCACACCATGCCCACCAAGCCACACCCACAGAACAGGTAGAAAAAAAAATTGAATTCCACCACTGCCCAGAAGCCTCAGAATATCTTTATTGTGTCCCTAGTGTTAAAGAGCACGCAAACAGTCACATCTCTTTAATTTAGTCAAAACAGGAAAGAAGCTTAAAATTGATGCTACAATGTCATTTGAACAAGTAACACTTTTTCTTTGATCAACTAATTTTGTCTTAGAAATATACAAAATATGAAAAATCCTTTGAGAAGAATTGTGGTGCTTAAAGTGAAAAAAATTATAGTTTGGAATAATAAAGGAGTAATTGACATAGAAATTCAAACTTTTTGATTTGAACTGTATGGTTGCTTCGGGTTATAGGTAAACTCAGAATAAAGCCATGTCTCCCTCCCACCCCCCAATTTCTTTCCATGTATCTCTCGCATGTTGATTGTATTCTGACTTATTAAACCACAGTTTCCCATTGTATCTGTCCATAACAGTGTGGTTCAGCTGGTGCTTCAAAAGGAATAAGTAAAACCAAGATAGTTTACTGATACAATGTAATTACACTCAAACTGTGTTAATGCATTAATTAATTTCAATTAATCAAGGGCACTTTGCAGTCAGGAGACTACATTGGTCTGCAGACATTTTTTAATATACATTTTAATATACATTTAATATAAATATTCATGAAACTGACAAATGCTGATGCCATCTTAAAGACATCCTTTCCTGCAAGGAAGAAAGATCAGGGCTTCTAAAATAGCTGCTGTGGTTCATTAATTCATTACATAAAAATAATTACATTTTTTTCCAGAACTATTATGTAGTTTGGGATAGTATAACAACGGTGCAAATAAATAAAATTCACGAATGCAGTTCAATTGTTCCAATGTAGATTTTGCAGTCCCTTTAAGTGCAGCACATTACCTCTTAAGGAACATCTACTTGCATGGACACTAGAAGGTTATTTGTTATTTCTGCTAGACTCTTAACATGTAACTTTTTTGTAACCTTAATCAAATCCAGAATCTTGATATGTATTATGATAAATAACATCCATCAATTTCTTTCTGCAGGACATGAACACAGCCATTCACTGTTTAATGGGGGTCTCAGCCACGGTCATGGAGGACATGGCCACAGTCACGATTCCAAGCATGGGCATGGACATGGACATAGCCACTCCCACGGAAATGAGCATGGACATTCTCACGATTATTGCCATGGTGGGTATGTGGGAATGTGCAGCAGGCTTGCACATCTGTATGCTATGTGTCTTCAAAAAGGGATACTTCTATAGATATGATGAAAAGATGCTGAAATCTTCTAGTAACAAAGATGATGTGTAAATTGTTGAATCTTATCTTTGGCTATCTAATCAATTTCCTGCTGTTTCTGTAATAATGATTTGAAAAAAAAAATAGTAAGGAAACCTTTGGTCTTGCCTCAGTTACTAGAAAAGGGTCAATCTACATCATGTGTCATATGTTTGCTCAACAGAAATTGTGATATGTGCATATACGTCCATTTGGCTATACGATGCTGTGCCGTATGTATTTATTTATCATATTTAGAAACTGCCCATCTCCCTCACAGACCAACTTTGGGCAGTGTACAAGTCTACATAAAACATATGAAAGATGGTAATTACAATTACATTTGTTTTTACTTTCTTTAAGATAGAGGATACTTTTAGCCACATTTTTAAAAGAACCAGGGAATTTTAGTTTAGAGGGGTAATAAATGCAGTGGAGAAAACAGTCATTCTTCTTCTGCTTTAAACCATGTTCTTGTTATGAAAAGCAGGTACTTCATGGTCAGTATGAATGAATTTATTCAATAAGTTTAACAATGTACTGTCACTTAGCTACTTTTTTATGGGATTGTGTTAGGATTGTGTTGAGAATAATAGCCACGGTACTATATTTCTACCCTGAAGGAAGATTATGCTAATTGTGCTGCTGTTTATTACATTTTGGCAAGTAAATTTAATGCATTTATTAGAGAAGGGACAATGTTGGGCAGTTTTACATATGCAAAGCTGCTTCCCTCTGTATAACCAACCAACCAAACAAACAAAAAACCCTTGTTATGTGAAGGTTTAATAGTTCTTTCTGCATCATTCTGTTTTTAAAGAAAATTACTTGGCAATATTTATTTACTCTGAGAAAAGTGCTGGTCGTTTGTTATAGCAGAATCAAAATAGCCATAAGATAATTTAGAAAACTGATAAAATGCTTATAAAAACCATGCACTCAGCCAGTGTCTGACAGCTATTGATTAAAAGATACATAAAGACTAGTAAAAAAAATGCATTGAGCATCTGGGGACAAGCCATCCCCAGATTTCATATGTGGTGGGGAAACCCTTATCCCTGTTGAGTTGAGAAGACTGAATAGAGAAGACTGTTTGAAGGAGATTGCCTGGAGCAAAGCCATAAGGGGCTTTGGAGGTTAAAACTAACACACTGAATTGTACTTGGGAATCTACTGATATACCGAGATTTTAATAGTGCTCTAAATAGCTTTAGAGCACTATGAATCTCTGTAATATCATAAGATAAATCTTTCCTGAATTGTTGATGTTAATGTTCCTGTCATATTAATTTTCACTTAATATACAGTATCTTGATTGTAATTTGGCTTCTTGATTGTTGGTTTAGTGATCGATTATACTAGGGTATTGGGCACATGTGACTTCACAGTACTTTTCATTTGATTAGAAAAAGATGCTTTCAAATGCACAGAAGCATGAGCACCACAGCTGAGTGTGATTCATTAAAGCAACTGCTTAATTTTCCTAAATCGATTTGGCTAAAGCAGAAACCTCCCCTGGTAGACTTTTGCTCCTGGAAAAAAATGTGGCCCTTCGCAACTGGGCTTATTGATTCTTTAACATGAATTGGAAATCTCCCCAGACTTATCACTACCTAGAAATCCTGTTTCTGTATTCTGTTTATTAAACAATAAGCCTCTTAGCATGGTTGAGACTACATTGCGTCTCACTTTCTCTGCTTTTTTTATCCTATATTAAATAAGGCATTAAAATGCTTGGGAATTTCTTGTGTTCTGGAGAATTTAATTTTTAACTTAAGCACTTCCTGGTTTCTTTTGGCTAGGAAGATCTGGAAGCTGTACTTGAAGTATATAATATGATTTCTTAAGCAAAAGCTCAAGGATAAATGAAAGGATAAATGTCTTTTTTCTTTGTACCATTTTTACAGATGATCAACCCATTGAGATGGCTGCAGGATCCAACAGACAGATTTTAGAAGGTATGATATAGATACATTGTGTTAAATTTAGGCTAATGCGAAACAAAAGTATAATATGCATTTGTAGAAAAATCTAATGCCACATATCAAACAAGATTACTTATTGAGATTAATAACAAATTAATTTATTTCTTTAATTCTATTAATGAATTAAATGAATTAATAAATATGCAGTTTTTTTCTGTTACCAAGCGAATGTTCATATATTTGCACGTTGGTCTTATCTGTCTTTCAGAATCCTACTAAATTCTATCAAAGCAGTAAATTAAATTAGTTGTTCTTTTATTCCTAAAAGGTACATGAGTTGATATAAAGAAATAATAGATTTTTTTAGAATATAGACTTGCTTCTGAAAATACATTAATAAATGCTATCAAACTTTGAGATACTTTGAGTAACCTTTCAAGTAGAAAAAGATAAATAAGGCAATCAGAAAGAACCTGGGGGAAACTCCCAAAGGTTCTATTAAACTAACTTCTTTTATTTAGCACCACAAATATTTTACAGTCTTAGGAAAAGTACAATTATTTTAATGCCTAAGTATATTGCAGTGCAGCTTTTGAAATTTTTGTAGAACCAGAACTTTTTTCTGATTGTTGTAATGCAGTAAATCTTTCACACCACTAATACACAGACAGTTCTGATTTGTACTTCTGATTTTCTAGCACATTCACCCTTGTTTATGCTTCTGTTGTTAACAATATTTTAACTACAAAGACATTGGAACAATTGAAAAAAATCAGTGGAATAATTAAGCTTATAATCAAAGTTGATATAAATGATTTTCTTTTTGTAACTTGATGTATTGCATTTAAATTATCACTTTACAAATCTACAATTTTTAATTTGAATTTACAAATGTAAGCCAGTGATTTTTACTTACATCTCTCTCTCTCTCTCCCCTTATATAAATTTCATTCAAGAATAGTGAAATGTAATACACTGATAGTTTAAGTCCACTTTCAATACTGTCAGTTCTTTAAAACACCTTTTAGACATAGTTTATCTAGAAACAGACATCGTTACCCACATTTTTGATCTTTTAGCTACTATTTTCTGATTTCATTCTTCAAAAGTCTCCTTCAGTCTCTGATAGCTGATCCTGTCATAGGTGATCTCTCATCCTTTCCTTATCTGCAGAGGTTTTCTGGTCTATCCCCAGTTTCTTGGTCTTTGCTGAAGTTGTTGGTTCCACTTTCACAGAACTGTCCTCAGTTTCCCACCCCCATCCCACAAAGCCTCATCAGTATTTGATTTTTGAAGTGTATACAATATCTTCGTGTGTGTGTGTGTGTGTGTGTGTGTGTGTGTGTGTGTATAAAACTTTCTAATCTGTATTTCCACTATGTGACTGCAGAGGGTGCTAAATGATCTTCCTATACTAGTCATGTACCATACATTTATTCTTGCAAACCTCTGACTTGCTCATATCATATAAAACAACTAACTTGATTATTGTAGTTTAATTTTTCTCTCATTGAATGACAGCACACAGAATAGCATTTTTACCTTCAGTTTATCAGTAGGGAGAGGGACTGTATTCCTTATTTTTGGATAGCTATTAAACAGTTTTTTGGGAGGAGGAATCCACTGACTTTGAAACTTTCTCAAATCTGTGAAATATATTGTATAAGAATTTAAATACTGCAATTCATCTGCCAAAAGAATGTGTGAACAGAAAAGGGAAAAAATCCAACATCTGAAGTGCACAAGGGGTTATGAAAACTGACAAAATTTCTTTGCCAAGCTAATTAATTCAAACAACAACAAGGACAAAAAACACCCAGCAACGCTTTGCCAAAAGGAAGTTTTCCTTCTTTGTGGTATTACTAATAAATTATTTGGAGGCGTGCACTGTAGTTTGCATTATTTGTTGCAACCAAATGTATGCTGGATCAAATAATTTGTAAAAATAATTACCAAAAAATGTTAAGTTCTCAAAAATTATTTCAGTCATGAGACAGTTGATGAACAGGTGATCTTTAAAGAGATACGAGAGAAATTTATTGAGAAGTTATTTCAGTAAATGATTATTTTGTAAGAATCAAAGGTTGCAAATTAATTATGTGAATTATTAAATTATCTCAGTAGCATTTAATTAATTTGCAACCTTTAATTCTTACAAAATAATCATTTATTTACCACTCTCTATCTCTCTATAGAATATAAAGAAAATCATATGAAATTTTATATTTATTAATATTTTTATGGGGGTAGAGACCACAAATGTCATAATGTGGCCCTGCTTCTGTTGTGTGGTCTTATATGGGCTTGGAGGGGTTACTGTGCTGAAAACACAACAGAAAAGGGACCAATAATAGTCAAATACTAGTTCTATGAGGAACATTGTTAATGTGTGTTAAGTAAATGACAGTGTACAGTGCTGTTATCCTCTGGCCCTTTAAATAAAGTCTCTTTGAAACTTTTTATACCTTTTACTCAATATATATTTTCTTGTAGGTGTATTTTTGCACATTGTTGCTGATACCCTTGGAAGTATTGGTGTAATCATATCTGCAATATTGATGCAGAATTACGGTTTGATGATTGCTGACCCAATCTGTTCGATGCTTATAGCTCTACTTATTGGTGTAAGGTAAGCATTGTAAAGAGTGAAGTTTTAGAATCACAACATTTAGAATGGTAACAAATATCACTTCGCTGGTTGTCACCTGTTCCAGCTGTAACAATTCTGTTTTAATTACTGTTGCAATGAAGCTTGGTTTAAAGAATCATCAGTATTATTTTTTTTCCTATCAGTATTGACATTTTGTCAAGTGCCTGAGTGACAGCTGAGTTATACATTGCTGCATTACAGTATTGATCTTCATTTTTCCCATGGTGGGGGGAGAGAGAGGGAGCGGAAGAGATGCATATATGTATATTTAGGATATGTTGTATTACTAAAAGAAGCAGAATGGCCTCAAATTCTGCGCATCGTAGTTCGCCTTTCATTTTCTAGCCACCATAGGAAGATAGTTATACACTGAACAAATTTCCTTTAGTGTGCGAGGTCACTTTCTAGAGACAGTTTGTGTTTATGTAGTATTGTGAAGCAGTAGAGATGATCTTATAGATACAAAAATCAGATAGTCTGGCAAGGACTGCGCTAGATTTATCATGCATATCAAACACTGCCATTCAAAAATGGGCAGAGCCATCCTTGTTTTGGGAGAGATTATAATCTGGGATTTCAAGATTTACCCTAACCCTAACATTTTGTTATGAAATGTTGGTAAATAAGCTAATAGGCCATGTTATCCAATAACAAAAATATATATAACATTTATCATATTTGCTTGACTTTGGCTTATTTTAATTAGCACTAACAAATATTGGTTGTCTTTGCTTTACTTTTGCTGAGCAAGAAAACCTTTTCTGTTTTGAAAAGCTAGTAATTTAAAATAGGAGATTAAAAATACTTAAACATGCACGTTCTCCAGAGGCTATAGATATACTGTTACATGCCATGGTAGGTGGTAATGCTAAAGGTACATAAATATTTGTGAGAGAAGCTAAATCCAACTATCACTAATGTGCATCACTAATATTTAATAATAGCTTGTCAAGTGTTCAGTTAGTGTCATTACATCCTACAGAATTGAGAGTTTTGTTCATTGCAATTGAATTCATGCTATAATAAACAACATGATGCTTTCAGCTAAATGTCTATGGAGATTCTCACTCATCCAGGTCATGGTTGTCCCAAAGATGCAGAACCTTCTTAGATGAGAAGCGAAACATCTTCAAAGAAACTTCTTCAAAGAAAAACCAGAAGGTCCAGTTGCCTGTTGAAAAAGCACCTTTGGGACAACCATGAACTGAATGACTGAGAATCTCCATAGACATTTAGCTATACATTACGATTTGTTTAGGCAAATTTTAGTTCTGAAATTCCATGATAGAAATCAATTTTTTCAGGATCTTGATGGAATTTGGTTGTTTTCTGTTTAGAAGACTGGTGAAACTGTTTTCCAGTAATGCCTGGATATTGCCATTTTAGTATCAAAATGATTGTCATTCATTTTCATGAGTTGGAGGAATAACCCAATGGTCCTGTATAAGCAGGAAAAAAGCAATAATAAGGAGTGATTGCACACATGATAGAGAAAGACCTGAAGAAGAATAATCTCCAATTGCTTGGCTGTTCATTCTTGTAAAAGGGCAATCTAAGCAGATGAAAAGCAGGAGGCAGGCAGCCCCTCTCTTTCATCTCTAGCTAACATCGCTATGCTTCTAGCTTTTGAATAGAGAGATGTTCTGACTAAAAATTTTGCCTAGTGTGCGAGATGAACCCTCAGAAACCACTTTTAAATTCAGCTTCAAGAATACATGTCCCATTTCTATGTGGTCTGATTCTGAAAAGACCCTGAGTAGAGGAATAAGTCTTGGGCTTGCACAAAGAACGTTGCATTGCATTAGCCCATCTGTTTAAACAAAGTTTGGGTGAACTGGCCTTCAACTTAATTACCATTATGCCTTGACTCTGCAGACTTCCTGTATTTTGATAATGGGGATTGGTTTAAACTGTTCATTATTACAGTTTAATACAGAGAACAGTGAGATCACTCTGTTTCTCCAGCCGAGCATTTCCAGGCTGCACAATAGAGGCTCAACATTTGCTAGATCATAAATTCCGTTTTGGTGTAAACATCAGACTGAAAAGTGCTGAACTTACACAGCCTAGTGCTAGACATGTTGCATTTGCTGTTGCAAATTAGAAAGAAGATAGATTAATGGCATAAATGAGTAAGCAGAGAGACTGTGAACTGAGCATACTTGCCAATTGAATGTGAGGATTCCTTTAGAACAGGGGGTTCCCAAACTTTTCTATACCCCACGTCCCTAAAACGCTTCTGATATATTCTCGCACCCCTTACAAAAGTAAATAATTAACTGCATATAATTACGCAAATACACTATAATTTTGAAACTTCTAAACCTAAGTTTTTGCACCCCCTGGAATATCGTGTCGTGCCCCCAGGGGTTGCGAGCACCCCCGGTTGGGAACCCCTGCTTTAGAATGATACTTCAGGTGAAAACAAGGGTCGTGCTGACACCCTAGATGTCAGCAAGCACATGTAGAGAATTGATCAAAATTTTAAAAAATAATTACATTCTCTATACACTTTTGCATCAACATTTGAAAAAAAATGGTTGAATTTAAAGTTCGGCATCCAAATTAAATCCAAGTTGAGAAGGATACTTCTTGAGGATACTTTTCAACTCAAAATAATATACATGACTCTTTGTTAGTTTTCTATTGCAACTTTTATTGCAACTTTAGTTCAGAAGCTGAGTCGGTATATATAGCTGCTGCTCTATCTATTTTATCCTACAAAGTCCTGTGTGGTAAGTTGGGTTGAGAGGCTGGCCCAAAGTCATCTAGTTTTCATGGCTGTAAGGGGAGGCTTGAACTGGGTCTCCCTGCCCCGGGTCCAACATTTTAACCACTACACTAGTTCTCTTTTTTTATCTTTATTGAAACTTTCTGATCCATGGTGATTTTACAAAGGCTTGTTGTGGTTATAACAAAAACGAATGAGAAAATACTTTATCTTTTGCACATCCAGGATTCACTATTAGGAAAAGGTAACCAAAGAGCCTGAATGAGAAAAATATAAAATACCTTACCACCTTTACCTTATGATAAATCACTACTTAACACATTAGTTTTGGGAAAAATACTAAATATTATGAGTAAAATTAAATTGGAAGGGCATATTAGCTTCCTGGCCATTCATTTGAATGACATAATTTAGTGCAGCCTTCCATAGTGTGGATGCTCTAGTCAGCATCCCAGAGAATTCTGGAAATTGAAGTCCACACCTCTGGATGATACCTTGAGTGGGAAAGCTGCTTTAGTGAGAACACGCTTAATCTACTATGGTGGAGTAGGACACAGTATTTATTTATTTATTTATTTATTTATTTAGTTAGTTAGTTAGTTAGTCGCATTTCTATGCCGCCCAACTCCCTGGCAAATCATTAGGTTCATCACTTCTGTTTGCACAGTAGAACTCTAGTGCTTGTGTGTGTGTAAGTGTGTAAGGGAGGAAGTATAGAAATAAGATCAGTTTGGATGACAGAATATCAACTGTCAGGAGAATTAGCCCAGTTGGATCCAAGACTAAATTTCATGTATGCAAGTGCCTCACCTTTGCTGTCTGTGCTTTCTTATCTCATGTTCAGCTAAAGTGATTATGCTTTGAATCACTTAACAACATATCATTGAAACAACTCTTTGTGGACCATCTAGGGCAGGGGTGTCAAACTCGTGGCCTGCAGGCTGGATGTGTCACGTGCTGGCTACGCCCACCCCGTTTTAGCGAAGGGGGAAAAGTTGCGAAACATTATGTGACAACAACATGTCAACATTGCGAGTTTGACACCCCTGATCTCTGGCAAGAACGGGAGGGTAAGTTGTTTCATAGGAGGTAGTATAATATTCTGGAAGAGAATGTCTTTTCTATTTTTTACATTTATCATTTCTGAAATTCTGAAGTGTGATAGTTTCAAGGATTGATTCACCATGGTATAAACCAGAAAACTTTCTATTATCTTATTCTATAGAAGATTTCTCTTTTCTGAAAATGAAACTTGATAGGGTTGCATCCCTTGGTGTTCATCTGGCAAAATAGTATCTGCCATTGCAATTTAAAATAAATGTATTTATTTGTGATAGCTGTGCCTGGGAAATATAAAGATTCATATTGCGTTTCACTTGTTCTTTTTATTTGAAAACATGATAAAAAGGTAGTAACCAAAAGCACATAAAAATACATTGATTTGGAACTCAAGTGTTAGAAAATGTTTTTATTCAATTTTCTAAAGATGTGTGCTAGTTCTTATATTGCTTTTGTAGAGCTCATATTGACATAGGAATATTTCTTAAATCTTGATTAATTGATTAATTCTAGCCAAGCTGTCCTGCCATTTTAACAACATAAAACGGGCAATAACTGCCTATTGCTGTAATAGCTTCATTGCTGGTTCACTTCTTGCCTCAAAACTTGATTTGAAACTTTTAAAAAATCAATCTTCTAGATTAAAAATGATGTCCATCACAGAAAAGGAATGTGTAAAGAGCATGCAGTGATGGAAGTTGTGGGTAATAGGACACTTGATTCCAAATGCCAATTGCGGAAACTCGGTGTTTCACTTTAGAGTAAATTTAATTTTCCTGTCAAGACTCTCAAGTGTAATGCATTTTAGAAACATGCAGTTGTTCTTATGTTATTTATTCGGTGGTGGAATAATCCTGCTTGAAAGAAAATTATTTTGAAGTTTAACGGAGGCCTGTTTTTAATACAGTAGAGTGGTGGTTTTTCCTGTGTAATCAGGAGAGATTGTTTTCTTTAAAAAGAAATCTGTGCCATGTAAATTGCTCATCTTAAATTTCCATTTTTGGTTTGGAAGTAATGGCTCATTCCTTTCCACATTCTCCACTTTTTTGATCTAAGTCTGAATTTATATTAATGTATTCCAGATATATTTACTGTGATACATTAGTACCTATAACAGCAGAATTAGGTTTATAACTATTTGCTACGTGCCATGAAATATTGCAACTCTATTCCATTACATCCTTAGGGG